CTTAAGTTTTAAGTTGTAATTCCTCCCCTACCTCCAACAAAAACTCCTTTTTAAACACAGGCCCAATCAGGGTTTCTCCCGGGGAGTAAGGATCGAGGTTGGTTCTCCACCATTTTGACTGATTCTTAGGCGTAATGATGAGCTGCTCTGTGCGATAAAATGGCCTGGAATGAAGACATATTTACTTATACATCCCTGACAGGAGTTGAAAATGCAAGCACTGGGGGCACTTCAATCAAAGGCATATTGTTCATCTACTAATTTATTTTTCTTACACCAGTTTAGTGAATGAACGAAAGTAAATAAAACCCATTACAGAATTACTCTACAAATTCTAGTAACTCAATGTTAGTATGTTGCTCAACATAATCTTCATAACACCTCATATAATAGTATCTGAAATCTTACACAAACTGACGATCAAAGTAATTTTATAACACCTATAAAAAAAACAAAACTCCTACACAATATGTTGAATCCCTATACAGTAACAAAAATCTTAAAGCAAAATGTTGATCAAAGTATTTTTTTAACACCTATAAAGTAACAGAAATCTTACCCAAAATGTTGATCAAAATAATCCTTTTGTGTCCTGGCCACACTTTTGGGAGCAGACCACAACTGAACAGGATCCACAATGACAGAGAGTTTGAGCAGACCACAGCCAAGAGCCACACACAAGAGGAGGCCAATTATCAGCACCACCAGGGGACGCCTGGCCACGAAGGTGCCCCATTTGGTGAAAATCTTCTGAAGCCATCTGTCCAGGTGGAAGCCAATTTTCTCCAAGCAGTTGATCTCATGTTTCCCAATGACTCTCCGCTGCGCGGCCCCAGGCTTGAGGACTGGGACAGTGTCACTGCTGTCGCTGTTGATCGCCCAGTCATTTTCTTCCAAATCATCCTGTCGGTTGACTCCCAACGTGTTCTTACAGATGATGTAATAAAAGATGTTGCCGATGATGAAAACTAAGAAGAAGCCTATGAAGATGCATCCCATGATGAAAAAGGCACAGTCGATCCCTAAGATGTAACATTTGGGTGGAGGAGGTTTGGGGGTGGGTTCAGGCCCGCACGCTTTGGGGCAATCCTGACAACTACACGCCAAACTGTCGTCATCTACCGCCTCGTAACATGGAGTTGTGCTGATATTAAAGGTTTCGTAGCCGGGAGGCAACCCAGACATTATATAATGAATCTGAAAAGGGGAGTTGATGGGATTTCCCATGAAGTTCAACCACTTCTTGGCGTTGCAGTTTGCGTTACCGCACAACACTGACATCGCCTTCTCGTTGTTACTCGGCATGACGACATCCTTACACGAGTTAAACATCCTGTCTGCGAAACCTTCATCGATGAAATATGTGACTTGATTCACGAGGTTTAAAACGGGAATGACTTGATCGACTCTTAAGAAACTGCTGTGGGTGGCGCTGCAGGTAAAGTCGCAGTAGAGTTTGCGGAAGTTGGAGTAACAGGACGGACATCGCCCTATCAGCTGACTGGGGACCCCCATGTTCTTCTGTAGTGTGTAGATCTGATCTGGACTGCAACACGTCGATATGTTCTCTCCTGGAAAGACAAAATAATCATGAAAAGTTTTTTTTTTAGTGTCAAATACAGATATTATATTTATTTATTTTATTAAAATCCAAAACTGGTGTTTTTTGGGGGAAAACATTTGCTAAACAAATACATACTTTAATGTTATAATACTTATTTAATAAAAATAATAATAATAATAATAATAATAATAATAATAATAATAATAATAATAATAATAATATCAAAAAATTAAATTGTGACATTTTAAGGAAGAAATTACAGCAGAAGAATCATTGACACAAAAGAGCAATGTTAAATAATTTTTAAAAATTGTAAATTAGTCAAATTTATAATTATATAAAGCAATGGTAGGCAGACCCATAGTACTGTAAAATGGTTAGCAACTGAATATTAGTAAAATTGGTAAAATTGTTAGTCAGTTTTTACCTGTTACCATGTGTGGACACAGCTCTTTCAAGATAGCTTTGGCACTTTCATTCAGTAGAGGCTTTGCCGTTCCATTATAAAATGGATTGAGGATCTTTCCAGAGTCTAATGTCTTCTCTCCATACCAAACACAGTGGTCTGCTGAGGACACAGTCTGAAATAATTTGGAAATGTTTCTGTAAACAAAATTATCTGTATATTCTTCTTTTTGTGAGTTGTATTTTTGTTTATTTATATGTATCTATTTATCTGTTTATTAACTTTTTACTCAAAAATATTGCCAGGCAAGTCCATTCTCTCTCTCTATCTTTCTCTCTCTCTCTCTCTCTCTCTCTCTCTCTCTCTCTCTCTCTCTCACACACACACACACACACACACACACATACACACACACACATGCACATGGACACACATCTTTTCACTGACAGTAAACTTAGACTGTCAGTCACAACCGAATCAATTTTTATGTCACATAAAAGTGGGTAGATCCGGGATGAAAACCTGTTTGGTATTGCTTGTTATACTTGTTAATATTATTTGAAAACTTATTGCTTTTTCTGTTGTGAGGGAAAAAATATACCACAACTCCAACAATGTTATACTGAAAAATATAATGGCAAAAGTAGGTCAAAGAGTGCATTCCCATAGATTTCGATCGATCCATCTAGATCGACCTAACTCCCTGGGGATTCACGCTAAATTGCTGTCAGCCGAGCGCGCACGGTAGTTAATTACCCTCTTACAGCTTTTAGTAGACGGGACAGACATTTGAGCCGGCTAAGTTGACAGTAATCTAATGAGACTCCCCACAGGGATAGATCAATCTAAAATCTGTGGGAATGGGGTCAAAGTTTAAGCTGCTTTACACAAGCTCACAGGCAAAGGTGAAATGCTAACACCATGGGGTAAGAATTGCACTTGAATGAACTCAAATACTGAAATCACAGACACAAAAAGATAGCCATTACGTAGTTCCTTCAATAAGAGTTAACCTATTGTGTATCATATGATAAATGAGATAATGTAATGTCAAATGAAATATCAACTGCTTTGTAGATAAAACCCAGTGTTACCCCTGTATTCAATACTGTCACCCCCCCCCACTTTCCCCTTCCTTACCCATTGTCACCACCAAAATAACCTTACTAAGCAGCACTCAGTCTGAAATATTTCGGGGGGGATTGGGGGGGGGGTGCTTGGGCCCATGTGACCCTGCATCTCGTCACAAACAATTAAGAAAGGAAACTGTGTCAACAACATCATTATTGGGTCAGAGCTTTACAGTGAAGTTTAACCATTAACAACAGCTGAGCAGGTGCCCTTTAAATATAGAACTTCACATTATGTATAATGGGAACAAAGTCCAAAGTATCCAGCGCAGTGAAAAGTGTACTGACTGAACCAGAAGACTTATGTATATCAAGGTTACTCATTTCAACATGAGACCTTATATCAAATATTTTTTAATACATTATATTAAAAAAAAATTTTTTTTTAATTATTTATATATATTTTTTTTCTTCTTTTTTTTATTTCACTTATATGAATCACTGTGTATTTGTACTTGCTGGTGTTTTGTAAACAGCTACTTATGTAATAAATATGATATTTATTTATTACATAAGTAGCTGTTTACAAAACACCAGTATTTATTTATTACATAAGTAGCTGTTTACAAAACACCAGCAAGTACAAATACACAGTGATTGTTATATTGCCAGCAGTATTTTTTTTTTTTTTTTGACGTTCAGTTACATTGTTCTTATTTCTCAAAGACCATCATACATATTGCTTTAATTCCTGGTCTGACATCACAATTGACAATATAATTTATTCAATCAAGTGACACTGAACATGCCACACACTTATTTTTGTTTGAAGATAACACAGGTTTTCTCTGTAATAAATTTTAAATTCATGACATTGTTGTCCTTTTCAAGGCATAATCAACTGATAACACATCCCTTGTGAGCAACAAAATAAATGCACTGCTTGAACCAAAGTCACAAGGTATCGCTTTTTTACTAATATGTGAATAGTCAGTGACATTTCTTTAATACTGTAAAATATGTCTCTTACAGTCTCTTGCAGTGATCAACCTAAAAAATAGGTCTCACAATAAATTCTATGGCATTAGTTTCTGAGTGGGTTGATGATTTTTCTCCATGGTTTCGTGGTTTATAAATTTTTTCAAGGGGAAGACATACTGCATAATAACATTCTGGTCTAAAGATAAGCTCAAATATCAGAATAATAGCTATAACTGACATTTTTGCGGTAAAACAGAATACATTATATTTTTATGAGTTGTTCACAATGTTTTTATTGTGAAATATAGATCTCATACGAAGAGTTATTATCCCTTTAATTTTACCAATTGGGCTACTGGACCCATGGTTTACAGTTACTGTAATCACATTTGTTCTTAATCTTGTTCCTGGAAGCTCTTTAAGGACGATTCATCATTATGCCAAATCGGAATAACATAATCATCAAACCAGGCAAATATTTTTGTTTTATTTACGATGTATTTATCAATTGTGTTCACAGGGCAATGGCATGTTTGGAGATGCTTTCCTGTCAGCATATTGACGTGCATCATTATTCAATGTATCATTGGTGTGTAAAGCTACATTGCAGCCTACAGGCCATTTGTGATACCTACAGGTTAGGTCTAAGAATCTGAAAAAGTGGCCTTTAATCCTTATCATTTCTTGTTTAACCAGTGATGAGACTGCCATTTAGTGAATTAGTTTGAAAACATGGCATGGGTTCTGTGTGACACCAAATAATGCTTTCAAAGTCAGCAACATCCAAGTACTGTACAAAGTACAGCTACCAGTACATGAATATCATATTACAAGTGAAGTTTATTACTCATTTTCACCTGGTTTTAAAATGAAATGCATGTTTTTTTTTTTAATTCATAATCTTAAATAAGCGATTGTGATTCTGATTCAACTGTCAATTATCTCTGAAATATAAATAAGTGTAATTAAAACAGCCAAACACAATGTTAGGGCATTTGATAACCTTAAACATTTAAGATCAATTGAAATGTAGCAAGACAAAAATCACTAGTATGGGCTTAATTCAAGAAAGTTATAAGATCTTTATGATAATTCATAAGATCTCTGACTGAATCTCAACAATACCTTATATATGAATTGATTCTTAGCAACAAAACAATGAAATCGACCAAACCCACCTCAAAATTATAAATAAAAAACAGCGCCACAGCTAGGTACATCACGTTCTTCATAATTCCTGTATTGGCTGCCTTCCACCAGTCATGAAACAGATCGTTTTTATCTTGGTCCAGTCACTTAACCGCAGAATTTTCGTCAATTTTTATGATAAACTTTAATCAGAGCGGTATGACTCAATATGTGTCATGCCACCATTTTGAAACTTGGGTCGTACGATGTGTCATGTGACTCCTGCGAGATTGAACTTTACACGCGTGATTTTTCGAGATCCAATATGGCAGGCTATCCCCCACCTGGCGGCTATGGATATGGGCAACCTGCACAGGTATTTTGAAGGAACACTATTCCCATTAGTTGTGTGCGGTTTAAATGCAAACTGTCAGATTCGACAAGAAAACAGAGAAAATTGAAATTTCTGCCAGGGAAGATGGTGACTCTGTGCTACAACTTTGGACACAGTCACTTCCGCCATCTACACTCTCTCACTTTCTCAGTGACACACCCTTGTTGTGCCTCTCCCTTTGTTTCCCTTTTACAACTGCTCTTAACACTTAAATCTAGACTACCAGTAGTGCCATCTTCCGAGTAGACTAACTGGTACTAGTATTTCCTCCACCGTGATGTAACCCTGAATTTCTCTGAATTGTTGTTGTGCTATGACTTTGTGCAATGTTTCCGCTATTCAAAGTAATTAGTTAGGTGATTAATTTACTAATTAACGATGTTTTTGCGCCATACAAATGTTATGAGGGCCTAGGATATCCCTGGGATGGAAATTTGCTGTAAGAGCTTGAAGATTTAATTTAAAAAGAAAAAAAAAGATACATTGATCAAAGTCACCACATAACTTCTTTTTGATTAACATTGACAATTAAAGACTTATAGGTTTGAGGGGGGGGGGGGGAGATACTGTAAGTGTGCTAACTGGCTTACCCTACAATACTGAAAAATCAATTAATCACATCTATAAATCTTGTCAACCAAACAGTTTTACCGGGTGAGTTTAAACCCTTAAAATTATGTAGTGTTATTCTAGCTTTATGTAATTAATTGTGTAAAATATATTATGCCTTTGTCTTTATCAGTATGAAAAAACCAATCATTTGTATTTCATTGTTAATATCTATTGATGTGATTTATTTTAAATGCATTATTTATGTTCCCTTATACTCAGGGCTATGGCGCTCCACCCCCAGGGCAACCCTATGGAGCCCCACCACCAGGGCAACCCTACGGAGCCCCACAGCCTGGGTATGGTGGTTATCAACAACCAGGTAAGGCTGATGTTTTTAGTTGAAGTGAAATGCATATTGATAAAACATTCACCGTCCCCCCCCCCTCCCTGCAAAATGGCTTAAAATGTATCTCAGTGAGACCAAAGTATATATGCAGTGTGTATGAGGCATATTCACTTTTAATGACACAGGGGCATATTGAGGCTGTCTTGTGGGTCTTCCGGAAGACAGCAGATTTTCAAGTTTACATGATGGGTATCTATTTTTTTACTGTTGGAAGATGGTCAAAAAATGGAGGATGGATCAACAATTTGAAAGATAATTTGGAAGACTGTCAGAAAATATCTCTGGATCCGCCCTGTGATAGGTGGCTAGACTATAGAATTTACCCCAGGGATAAACCCCCAGGAACAAAGCCAATTGATACAATCCTATGTGTTCCACTGGTTCACCACCATATATGTATGTTTTAACTCTAATTCCAGGTTATGGTGCCCCACCCCCAGGGATAGACCCCCAGGTGTATCACTGGTTCACAGTTTTTTCTAACTCTAATTCCAGGGTATGGTGCCCCACCCCCAGGGATAGACCCACAGGTGTACCACTGGTTTACCACAGTATATGTATGTTTTAGCTCTAATTCCAGGTTATGGTGCCCCACCCCCAGGGATAGACCCCCAGGTATACCACTGGTTCACCACAGTGGATGCTGACAGATCTGGCAGAATCACGGTCACAGAGTTACAGCAGGCCCTGACCAATGCTAACTGGAGCCACTTTAATGCTGAAACTTGTAGGCTCATGATAGGTGGGTAGATCTCTTTGAAAACTGTAACTTATTGATAACTGTGGTGGTACCTACCCTGAAGGTAGTATCACTTCTCTGATCCTAGAATAACACTGTATTCACTGTTTGCCTCTTAGGAAAATTAGTTGCTGGACCGAAAGTTCAGCCATCTTGAAAAGTAGCTGGCTCGAATGCCTGCCAGGTGGAAAAACTTCTCAGTCCGTTCTGAAAGTTGTCAGCCCCGGGCAGACGTTCCAGCGTTCATTTCTAACACTGACTATTTTCTTTGTTTATTGTGCAATTTGTATCCTATTTCCAGGTATGTTTGATAGGGATCACAGCGGCCATATAGATCTGAATGAGTTCCAGGCCCTGTGGAATTACATACACCAGTGGAAGGGAGTCTTTGACAGATACGACAGAGACAGATCTGGATCTATAGAGTTTAATGAGTTGCATAATGGTGAGCTGTTTTACAGTTGGTATTATTGGTAAAAGTTATTGAAAATATATAATTAATTATTTTTCTAGAAATGTTTTCTTACATATGAAACAAACAAGCTCTAAGATAAATTTGAAACTAACAGGAGCAGAGCAATAAATTATAGCAAGCTTTCAAGTGGGTTGGCCATATTTGATCCACAGATAAGTAAGTCCACAGATCAATAGAGCCTTTTAGTGAGCAGGTGTTTCTCATGATTCAAGAAATATTTAAATATGATTTTATCTTATTGCAGCATTCACTGAAATGGGATTTCGTTTATCGCCACAGTTCGCTCAATTAATCGTCACCAAATATGACGTCCATGCACGAAGGGCCTTGACCTTGGACAATTTCATCCAATCATGTGTCCTCCTCAGATCTCTGACAGACAACTTCAGGGCCAGGGACACTACTGGAACTGGAAATATTCAAATTAGTTATGAGGACTTCATGTGCATGGTGATGCTAAACAAACCGTGATTGGTGGATTGATGCTAAAAACTGGGTCATGTTCACCTATTTTTTATTTTTGGGTCATCTTAACCTAGTTTTGTCAGTGGTTTCTGTGTCATTGTCACCATATGGAAATGATTGATGATGATCAATCCATGTTATTTTTCTCCTGAAAAGATTTTGAGTTGGTAAACGTATTTCAAACATAAAAGGTAGTATAGTTTTGCATATTTCATCAGCTTTAGGTGTTGGTTTTGAACAGAAACGTCACACGTTTTTTCTTTACAGAGAATGTGCCTATTAGTGAATCTTGTCCAGTTCTATCTGCAAAACTTTTCTGTCCAAATGCCACATTTGTTCAAGTTGGAAGTTCAATTTCAAGTTGGCATTACTCTAAGAGGTTGAGTTACATGAATATCATCTGAACCATCTTATGTTATTATGATGGTTACTTAAGATTAAAGACAATTTGAGGTGTTAGGTGAAACCTCCTTTTACTAGTCGAAGATTTCTTCCTAGGATTATTTAAGAATATCTGCAATCTGTTATACATATTTTTATGGATACTTTGTTTTCTCTGTGGCATGGCCTATATTTATCTATTTCCTTGGAAAAAAGTTACTGTAGCCTTACAAGGTTAAAGAATGAAAAGGTCATGAAATGCAAAACCAAAATTATGTGCAAATTTTGTGGTTCCTTTCACCAATTAATATCATAAAATTGTTCGACATGTCAAATGAAAATAATTTAATTCTATATTTTAGAATTTTTAAAACATTACTGTTCATTATTTATAAAATAGTGCAATGAGATATATCATAGATGTGTGATTAAAATATAAAAATATGGTCAAGATAGTTATATGACTGACACCCCAAATAATTCCCACTTGAAATTTTAAGATGACCTTTTCTAAAACAGAAACATACTACTATTTGATCTAATATATATATATATATATATATATATATATATTTTATTTTCATTTCATACTTATTCTACTTGTATGAAACTCCTGAAATTTGAAAATAAAGATAGATGAAATATGAGATATGATATGCAAATTGTTTTTACTGATAAGAAAAAATCTACTCATTAACATCCCATATGTTTGCTATTGAACTTGTAACAGACAAAATAACTTTTGCTAGTACACTACTGTTTTAAAATGCTGTGACAGTTTCTTACAATATCAAATTTCATTGGAAATTTGAATTTTTTTTTTTTTTTTTTTTTTTTTTTTGAGCTCAGTAATTTTTACTTTCAATTTTAATGTCTGTGTTTATTTCAAAGAAAATGCTGCCACGAAGCAGACTTGACATTTTTTTATTTTTAATCCTCACATGGAAATCCTCAAACGGCAATCATCTTCCTTTTCAAAACTTCACAAATTGGGGCATAAATGCAGCAAGAAAATCTCTGAATCTCTGAATTTCCAGATAAATAAAGAAGACCATGCTCAAATGGCAAACAGTTCATAATACATTAGAATCTAATTCTAATACATTATAATCTTAAACTCCAATAACTGGTGACTATTGGTAATGATCAAGAGGGCTTCAAGAATGAGAGACAGTATTTTTTATAGTAATGGTTTTATCATTTGATTGATAATTTTTCCTGGTTTGAAATAATCGAGCCAAAAAAATCCTATATAACATACAAGATTTCTCACCTTAGACCAATAATAATGCTTCAAAAAACTAACATTCATTCGAAATGGATGATATGGCACAGAAAAACAATACAAAGCATTATAGTATATATAATAAACATATCACATACAAAATGCACAAATTCAGAGAAATTCCACTTCTTTGAATGCTGTGTAAATACTAAAAAAAAAAATTGGTGCATACTGCTACCATGACTCAATATTTTACATTTTTTATAAAGTTAAAAGTGGTTTTGCATCTGCTGAGTATTAATCCTTAAAAACCACTTGCCCTTGTACTAATTGCGAGTAAAATTAAAATTGGACAATTAAAGCTTAAGAGGTATAACATTTTTCAGATTATTGGCGAATTCTCCACCTTTTTCGGTGTTTGAAACGCACATCATTGCGCAGATAATAAGGAGGCGTGGTGTTCCATACTCCAGGGGTTCCGACTTGTGGTACAAGTGCACAGAAAAGAGCGCAAGAAAAACACGGGGTTAATTCTACGGGCTATCCGCTAAAGCCTGTACAGACCTCTTTATTTTTCTTTTAAGAAATGTTTCTGTACCAAAAGCAGGAAGAAAAACATATTGGGGATGTTATTACCAAGAGAAGGCACTATATTTGAAATCTGAAAGCAGTATATGCAGGATTCAACAACATAAAACACTTTCATGAGGATAGCTTTGGAGGTTTATGGACTTTGAAACACATGGAATTGTCTCCACTTCATCCGGACACACATTTTGATAATGAAACGTTCCCCGTGAACTTATTCCATGATTTAACGCAACACAGATGCAAAAAGGTTATTTAGACTAAACAAAAGCTACCTTACATCGATTGTAATATGTGTTTTTCCGGGTTACCAATACTGTATTTCGTATTTGATGAGAAATAAATAGAACATTTTAACGAATTAAAATTCGTAAAAAAATATAGTAGAAAATATCCCTACACTAAATGATTTTGCCTTCATTCAAGAGACAATACACTTACGTTGTTTCACCTCAACATAGACTGTCCAATCAAAAAGTTCGGTGGATGAAGAGGGAATTCCCCACAGCTGTTGGCAAACAAAAGAATTGTACACACTCAGGTGTTGAGGGAGAGGGTCTGGTACAGTTGTGTGAGAGCATAAGTTATTTGATTTACATAAATTTTAATATGTAGAAGTATATAGAAAAAAAAGCTTCCTGATGAACTTGGGGGGAAGGGTGGAGAACACGTCAAAAATCTCTTGCGGTGGGTGTAATCGCACTTTCTTTGTTCTAAGGTTTCCTTATCTTTTTTTTTCTCACATTCTTCATTTTCATCAATGCGTTCTGGTTTCAGCAAATGTTAAAAAACGTCATTTCGCAAGGTATTAAAGGGGCACGGTGTTCCATACGCGTGAGATCGTGACTTGTGGTTGTGAACATAAAGGAGCGCAATGGAAACACGGTATTGATTCTACACGCTAAACGCTTTTAATAAGTCTGTACATGTATAAACATATTGAATTTTCTTTTAAAAATGTCAACCGATCTCTTCAAAACCAGGAAGAAAAACATATTGGATAAAAGACCCAGAGAAAGTACTACATTTAGTTAATTGTTCGTGTATAATCCTCGTCAAATTCACAACCAAAGTAGAAGAGTAATACAATGTGTAAGCTTAGATAAATGTTTATGTAGTCCATAAATATATAAATGCCTATAAAAAAAGCCCGTCGCCATAATTTGGCCCTATCTTAAGAGGAGAGTTTCATTGGGAGTTATAGAATATGACTGCATGAGTGGCTGTTTAGTAAATTTTTTTGTATGTGAATCATTCGATCCTTACTCGCAAAAAGGTAGCCCAGAATCCCGATAACCGAAACGTCCACGATGCCAGGAAAAGGTTACTTTATTCTGTATCTGTGGTGTTTGGTGAATTTCATCGTTAGTAGTGGAGGTTTCAAGGCTCAGAGGTGCCCGGCGCCATGTCACTGTGATTTTACGTCCTTGTCACAGGAGATAGTCAACTGCTCTTACAGCCGACTCCGTGCCCTTCCTCTGGAGATACCTATACCACTTAATACAACTGTACTGGATCTACGTTACACCGGTCTGTCTGAGATACCACCACACGCATTTAGCCAACTGGAGGGTCTGAAAGCACTGTATGTCGGAGGGAACAACATAAAACACTTTCACGAGGATAGTTTTGCAGGTTTATGGAATTTGGAACTCTTAGATTTGTCTCCACTGCATCCGGACATGCACTTCGATTATGAAGCATTCCCCACGAACTTGTTTCGTGATTTAATCTCGTTAAAAATTCTGATGTTCGGAAGAATGAGCAGCAGTGCACAGATTCAACAAGGCTATTTAGACCAAACCTTAGCTCCTTTACATAAATTGCAACAGGTGACCTTTCCAAGTCTAACAGATGGAGATACACCATTTGGTCGCGGATACAACAATCTTACTTCACTGAAAACAGTCGGGTTTCATGGAGTTGGATCTGTAACAAACATAAGAAAGCACACTTTTGCCATGTTGAAAAACTGTCCTATCGAACGATTAGCTTTCATTAGCTGTGGACTGGACACCGTAGAATATGGCACATTGTCTTCATTTCCACATCTGAAAGTATTGGACATAGAATATGCCAACTTTATGTCAGTCACAGAGGCCGAGAAGTTCATATGTGACCTGAACAATACGTCAATTGAAGTTCTTCACATGTACCACATATTCGGATGGCGAAATTGGAAACCAAATGTTCCACAGTGGATTGTGTCTGCTAATACTTTTCAGTGTTTGAAACACACATCACTTAAGACATTGGAATTAATACGCAATAGAATAGAAGCGATTGACCTTCAAAATTTTAAGTTTCTGCCTCATTTAGAATATGTAGATTTGTCTGGCAACAACCTTTTATTTGGTTTGGAAAATGGAATACAGGAAATTGGTTTCGATAAAATATTTCGTGATCTAATGATAAATACAAACCTAACACTTTTTAGAGTGGACAACAATATTTATCGCACGAGTTTGGTGACACCTCAAGATATTCCATCAAAATCTTTTTGGTATGGCCGTCCAAAGCTTCCTTTAGAACCAGCTAAATACTCGTATGTAAGCCCAACCCCCCAAACAAATCGAAGTGCTCCACATAATTTTCGGTTAGAGCTCCCAATTTTGAAAATAAACCTGCCTGAAAATTTAGAATATGTGTCTATAAGCTGGTGGGCCACAGACAGGAATGATTATTTACCATGTGATACTTTTAAGGGGTCCGTTTATTTCTTTCCAAACAAGCTCAGATATCTCAGAATAGAGGACGTGAATTTAAAAACTTTTTGTGCCTTACTTTATGGCTTAGATCGGCTAGAGTTTCTGGATTTATCTTATAATGGTGTTAACTTCCTTCCAAAACCATTTTTTGAAAATTTCATCTCACTGATTTACTTGTATCTGAAAGAAAACAATTTAGGTCCTTTGATTGCTGAAGGTGGTCTACATCCCATACAACTCCCACACTTAGAAATCCTCGATTTATCAGTAAACAAAATCAGCACAATACCAAAAGACTTTTTTGGCTATCTTGTATCCTTAAAACAGCTGGACCTCAGAGACAATCGAATATCAACATTATCTTTTACCATGACAAACTTACTTTCCATAGAATACATAGATATAAGCACTAATCAACTAACCGCCTTGGCAATATCGCAGTTAGACTACATTATGAAGATGAATGCCAGTAGTTTGGATGTAACTTTGAACATGAGCAACAATCCCATGGACTGCAACGTTTGCGACGGGATAGGATTCCTCCATTTGATTATCCATTCTAACATGACGACAATATTCTCCAACGACTCCACTTGCTACATGAATGGATCTAAAACAAGCTTAGAGAGCAGCCTGAGTAGACTTGAGAGGGAATGCGACAGTTCTCCACATACGATCATTTCATCAAACCTGTGGCTTTCCTTGGGAGCATCTCTCGGTGTCATATCTGCTGCGGTCTGTGGTCTTATAGTAGCTTACATTTACCGTTGGCATATCAAGTGAGTTAACTTGTGAGTGTATGTAGAAAAGTTTAATTTTTATATTGATTAAATATGTAGCAAAAATGCGCACAAAAATAATTTAACACAGGAAAACTGTAATTATATATAGTACCTAGGGTTCATTGTGCTCTCTTTGCAACATATACTAAGTATAGTGAAAGAATCTGGAAAATATAGTATTAAAATGAGTATAAATATTAATAATTAAAATCAAATACAGAGAAGGTCATCCTTTGAAAACTACTTATCAATTGCTAAAGGTGGTCTACATCCAATACAACTCCCACATTTGGAAATCCTCGATTTATCAGTGAACAAAATCAGCACAATACCAAAAGACTTTTTTGGCTATCTTGTATCCGCGCTGGACCTTAGCGACAATCGAATATCAACATGACACTGAGAATAAAATCGGAGTCCAAGTGACTCCAAACTTGGAGTCCAGCAGTGGTGCCTAAAATAACTCCCAATTGGAGTCAAGTTGACTCCGATGGAGAAATGCCACCCCACACCCCACAGGAGGGTCACAATGAACTCCATTCACACATCCCTTCATCCCTTGATTTATCTCTACAAAAGAGTCACCATGACCCCATATTAAGGAATTTTTGACTCCTTGATACGTCATGAACAAAAACAACTACAATAGCGACAAGTGGAGTGAGAGCAAGTATCGTTCATTTCAGACTGTTGTCCCCGGACGGGTTCGAACCCGCGTCCTCCCGCTCCAGAGGCGGACACCCTAACCACTAGGCCATGCGGTCAGAAGTGGATCCCACGTAGCAATAACAAACAGTTCGTAAATCTGGTAATAAACAGCATGACATGTTTGTTGGATGTTGGATTAGGAAACCGTGTGACCATACTAGAGAGTAAACAAACTAATTCCTTCAAAATCGTAAACTTTGGGAGATATTTTAACTCATATCTAAAGATGAAAAAATAAACCAATAGTGAGCATACCTCTCCACTGACATGCATTGGTGGGTCAAACCTACAACCTGGAAACAAAACCTGCTGACCTGTATACCAACATATCACATAAAGGGTGTGGCAACTGAAAGCCCGGGCCAGTAAAAATTAAGAAATTAAAAATTAAGAAACACACAGAAAACCATTTGTTCATGCATAGAACCAACTATGACCAATAAAGTAATGTTTATACTGACAAAGGATGCTGAAAACTGTTCTCTCCACGCCGTCTGCACACTGCCATCACAAGTAATGAAACGAAGCTTTCTGTCCAGCGAGCGAAAAGAGTCGATGAAAAGGGTCAGCCAGACACTGGCCCCCGATAATTTGACTCTGATTTTACAGTCAGATTGACTCCATGAGAGCCAGGGGGTGATTAACTCTGATAAGAGAGTCTAAATCTCTGGTAGTGTGGTAATTTGACCCTTATATAGGAGTCAAATTAACTCCATGAGGGTCGAGGGCTGCTGGACTCTGACTAGAGAGTCAAATGACTCCAATTTTATTCTCAGTGTATCTTTTACCATGCCAAACTTTCTTTCCACAGAATACATAGATAGCCTTGTCGATATTGGAGTTGGACTGCATTAGAAATGTGAATCCCAGTAGTTTGGTTGGGTAAAAAAGTGTTTCTGTGTCATTTAGTGCAACATTGCAGTAAAATATTTGTAATGATTACCGATTAAGTTTTTGATTTTTCTCCCTATCTTATAGATACCACTTCTTCCTTCTTCGCCGCCATTTTCGAAAGAGAGGTGTCATTACTGCAACACCTGGTCACGTGTACGCCTCCTATGACGACAACGATTATTACTATGTAACGCACAAGCTGTTGCGTCATCTAGAAGACGAGGATCAACTTGATGTTATCATAGATCAAAGAAATTTCATTGGTGGCGCTTCCCTTTCCGAGGCCATCGTAGAGGCCGTGGAAAACAGCAGAAAAACAGTGCTTGTTCTGTCTGAGAGCTACGTGCTCAATCCTTGGTGTGAGTTTGAGTTTCAGATGTCTCTTGCTCGTGGTTATCAATCAGTAATCCCGGTTATGTTTCAACCTGTGCCATTTGATGCTATGACGAAATCGCTGCGAAAGTACATTAGAGCTAGAGGGTATATAAAGTGGACTGAGGACCCCGATGGACAACGTTTGTTCTGGAAACGCCTCTCCAACGCCATCTTTGATGAGAATAATATACTTGTGCAACCCGAGAAAGATGACACGACTGAACTCATGTAGCTGATTGGATTTGATTTTAAACTGTTGAGGGTATATAAAGTGGACTGAGAACCCAGACGGACACTGTCTGTTCTGGAATCGTCTTTCCGACGCAATTTTTGATGTGAATAAACCACTTGAGCAAGCTGATGAAGACGAGATGACTGAAATTATGTGGCTGAGGTTTTTGGTTTTTGAACTGTTTTGTAACATGCACTTATGGCTTACGTATTGTAGATCAGATCGAAAAAACTGTGTGGATATTTGTAACAATTGTGTGACAATATAAATTATTTTGAGTAAATAAATTTTGATATGTAGATGCCATAAATAGATGCATATTTTGTAACGTCACTTTCTTTTCGCCTTTGCCGACTCTTGTATCCAGTGTTCTGTATTAATACAGTATTCTTTATTAGTAAAATATGCACCTCGATTAACTTAAAGCGGCTCAGCAATGGGAGAGAGAGGTTTGATATAAACATTTCTCACTTTAATTTTTTTATCTTTTACGAAAGAAATTATTATGTTTAAGACACTTCTTCAACAAAGATTTTTTTAAAAATAAATATGCTCGTATACATATACATTCTAGGCTTGGAGCAAAAGAAGAAAAAAGCCGCGAAATCTGCATAGCATATTTCTGCCCTTGAAACTTTGTCATGTATGCATTGGTGAACGAGGTTGTTCGAAAAATGTTAAAGATGTCAGGACAAATTGGGAATTGATTTTTTTTTTGGGGTAGGGGCTCCCTGGTACCTCATGTCACTGTCGTTCTCTGCATCCAGATGGGAGAGGAGAGAAGGAAGTATTATAAACAATCCGTGCATCGTCTTAAAAAAAAACATACAATTTCTCGAGGGATGCTACTTCCTTGCTTATTTGTATGTACGGTAGCAGAAATATATTGGTCGAAAAAAATTAAGTAGAACGGGAGTAATTGAACTAACAAATACAGGCTTTCACAAAACAAAATATTAGTGTTGAGTACAAAAATGCTGCACTTTATTTACTCGGGAGTAGATTGTACCTAAATAAGTTTAAAAAGCCTTACCTTCCTCGAAGGATCAAAACCCGTTCTACCGTAAATGACAACAAAGGCTATCCAATCATTAAGAGGAGGGGTACATGAGGGAATCCCCCACAGCTGTGGGCGAACAATAATGTTTACATGCATGGTAATCCAATAAAAAACAGCGCATAAGAAAGGTGTACCTGAGCAATCATGCAGAAGCCCCTTCCACTGTTGCTGATGCCTTGCCACTGATAACACTATGATGACTAAGCACACCTCTAGAAGATTACTGAAAGCCTTAATGAGATCTGTTGGAAGGCTTCAACCTTTTTGCCAGAGAAAGCTTGTCATATAGCACAGTGCTTTTATATAATCCTCCCTCCCGCACAACCCCCCCCCCCTGGACGATTCCTCCCGAGCAAATATATATATTTATAAACAAATATAAAGTAAAGAGTAGAAAGTTCAAATTTTTTTCTTCCATTTTCTTAATATTTCCTAGTGGGATGATGCAACTCGAGGATAGATAATATTTATTTCATTAAACAAATTATTTTCAGGGGCGGACCCAGAGTTATTTCCTGACAGTCTTCCAAATTATCTTTGTTGATCCATCCTCCATTTTTGACCGTCTTCCGACAGAAATAATTAGATACCTGTCAATGTAAACTTTAAAATCTGACCGTCTTCCGGAAGACCCAGAAGACGCCCTAAATCCGCCCCTGATTTTCGTGGAGAACAAGTACAGAAAATTTTAGGGAAAGAAGCGCAGAGCATTTTATTAAAAATCTGATCAAACTATATCTTCAGGTAAAGGTGGGGTAAGCGGACGATCTCACTCATCCAGGTAACCTTTTGATGAATTGTTTTACTTTTAATGGCTTTATCATTCCCCCTTGATTGAGTAAGTCTTGACTCAACGTGTATCTCTAGGTTGAGGTGGGGTAAACAGATCTCGCTTATCCAGGTATCCCTTTGATTATTTGTCACTTTGAATTTTTTTTACCACTACCCACCACACTGAAAATATTCACAAACTATTTGTTTACCTGTTCATCTTTTTACATCACCTTTACCCGAAGGATAGGTGGTTATACTTTGATTAGATATTTAATAAAACTTTCTGTACTTGTACTCAGTGAAAAGGAATTTATAAAATAATTTGTTTCATGGTGAAGGCGTATTATCACATTAAAATATTAATAAAATGGATGGAATGTTTTGAACTTTATAGTTTTTACAGTACTACTACTTTATATTTGTATACGAATATATATTTCTTGGGGGACTTTCCTGGGGTGGAATTGTCCTAGAATCATCATAGATATACGATTGAAAAATTTTAATATCTAAAAATATGTTCAAGAATGTTAAATGACTGGCACCCCAAATAATTCCCACTAGAAATTTTAAGATGACCTTTTCAAAAGCAGAAACAATACAATACAATATCGTTTGATCTAATATTTATTTTATTTTCATTTTACTACTACTTATATGAAACTCTTGAAATTTGAAAATAAAGATAGATAAATATCAGATATGATATGCAAATTGTTTTTACTGATAAGAAAAATCTACTCATTAACATGTTTACTATTGAACTTGTAACAGACAAAATAACTTGTGCTAGTACACTACTGTTTTAAAATGCTGTGATATTTTCTTACAATATCCAATATCATTGGACATTTCAATTTCTTTTGAAGTCAGTAATTTTTACTTCCGTTTATAACTTCCTCAATTTTAATTCCTGTGCTTATTTCAAAGAAAATATTGCCACAAAGCAGACTTGACCTTTTTAAACCTCACATGGCAAGCACCTTCCTTTTCAAAACTTCCCAAATTAAAGAGGAAAGTGGGGCACAAATGCACCAAAATAATCTCTGGATTTCCAGATAAATACAGAAGACCATTCTCATATGTCAAACAATTCACAAAACATAACAATCTTTAACTCTAATACATTAGAATCTTGAACTCTAATAACTGGTGACTATTGGTAATAATCAAGAGGGATTCAAGAATGAGAGACAGTATTTTTTACAGTAATGGCTCAATCATTTGATTCAATTGATAATTTTTCCTGTTAGAAATAATCGAGCCAAAAAACATCCTATATAACATGCAAGCTTTCTAACCTTAGACCCATAATAGTGCTTAATAAAACTTACATTCCAACTGGACGATATGACAAAGAAAAACAATATAAAGCATTATAGTATATATAATATATAACTTACAACAGCACAAATTCAAAGAAAAACCAAGTCTGTTACATATAATATGTAACTGTTAAAGTGAAGCATATTGCACAACTGAGGGGAGGGGAGGGGGAGTTGAGATTCCACGGTTAAGAGATTCTAGTATCTGTCAAAAGCCGCATTTAAAAATAAATTCCCAAAAAAATCACTATTTATCATGACAGGCTACATCTTAAATGCTTCTTTGAAATATTTCAAGAACATAAGAGCAAATTTGTCAAATTCTGTATTACCAACTTGCTACTGTCATCACCCCCACTTTATCAAGAACATTCTCCATGGTATCTATGGGGATCAATAAGTACTGAATGATTTAAAAGTAGAAATATTCAGGCTCTGTTTTGCATACCATTAATAAACAAGAAAAATACCACCAAATTGGGTCAAGGTCATACCTTAGATGGGTCAAGGTCATCTATAGTATGTTTGAAGATCATCAATAATATACCTATATAAAAATTTCAAGTAAGGATATTTAAAATATCCACTGCACATATTCATACACATGCTTATATGAATAACACCAGGAATTCTTGGTAAAACCTACATTAAAATGCACTAAATAAGCAAGTGCAATATTCTACTACTACTACTACTACTACTACTACTACTACTACTAATACTACTACTACTACTAGTAACTTTAAATGAAAAATGAGTATTTTTCAGAGTAAATTCTTTGTGTCACCATGACATAAACCAGCTGAGTATTATTCAGGTTTTTGATCCAAAATCATTTAACTGGAACACATGGTAATAAACAAAACCATTTAACTTGGGACCCTTAAATGATTAAAAAATTAATACAAAGCATTTAGTTCAAAGAACTAAAAGAAAAATAAAACTTCCATATGCCTTGTACTGTGAACATTTGCAAAAAAATTACATAAATACTAATTATAATAACTTATAAAAAAATTGTAAAATATTGAGTCATGGAAGCAGTAAGTATGCACCAATTTTTTTGAGTATTTACACAGCACTCTAAGAAGTTACTGCTGAAAGCTAGTTTAAACCAATCTTTTGTATCTGAGATGATGTCCTTAAAGTCATGGTCATTCTCTTGTTTGGGCTTCCTTCAACATATATCACTACCCAGATTTACAAACAAACTTCATTTTATCTTTTGAGTAACACAGAAACAAATGGTACAGAAATATCCATAACTAAGAATGGTCAATATAAAGTGGCATTCTCCAAACAAAAATATAACCCCACACAGTAGAGCACTTACGCTAACTAAAAAATACCTATTTCTGCATTTGCATGTATAAAATTTAAAAATCTAAACTATTCTGCTAGCTATCTAAAATGCTACAAAATTAAATCAGTTAATGCTAACTAGTAATGATTTCATATATTTCAAAGGTGTCACGTAAAGAGAGTATGACAACTGTACAACAATATGAAAATACAACTGAGTCTGTCATGGCAAGTTGCGAGATCACCAATATTGGTCAAGGTCACCATTCTGTTATGTCAAGGTCATTTATTAATGTCAAGGTCTAATGCACCATCATGAATTAAGTTGTGAGTATTCAATCATAGCTGTAAAATAATAATAATACTAATAATAGTTCAAGTATTTTCATATCAAGTATTAATTAAAGGAGTATTCTGAGGCACATATGGCAAGGCACTTCCAGATCTAAAACGCATACAAGTGGTAGCAACAAACATAACTGGCCCCTACAAAGAATATGCACGCAGTATTTAGTTTTAAAAAATTTTATAATAAATATTATATGGATCTAAGACGCTTCTGTACCACTGCTAAATCAATGTATTTTTGTGACAGTAAAATGTGCTGAATTTTACTAGATTCTAGTGATATAAACAGGGGCGGATCCAGAGCTATTTACTGACAGTCTTCCAAAATATCTTTGTTGATTCATCCTCCAACAGGAAAAAATGGATACCCGTCAATGTAAACTTGAAAATCTGACCGTCTTCCGGAAGACCCAGAAGACGGCCTAAATCCGCCCCTGATAAACCTATGTCAGAGACACAAATCTGCTGACCAGGTCACATTGACACCATGAGGACACCATTGGCATATATTTGTAACTGGGACAACAAATTAATCACGAGGTCACCTTGACACACATCAATAATTGGGTCAAGGTCATCAATAATGAGGAGACTGTGACAGATATTAATGACACAGTTACGATGAATGCTGCTAATATGCTGTAACTGGAGCTAAGAATCCAGAACACAGTAACAGTTCCACCAAATGAACTACAAACACTTATTGTAAGGACAAAACCTTAACATTAAACACTACTGTATTGCAATATACCCACTGTAGAAGTCAGTCCTATTGGTATATATTTCTTTTCACTGCTGAGACATATTGCTTTGCTGTCAGGTAAACATTGGGAATTCAGCATTTTTGTCACAAGACTGTCAACCTCTCTGCTTTTCAATTATTGCTTTCCATTATGTTTATTCCTCCAAAGGCACATCATTTGCTAGTCAAAATAACTGTCCTCAGTCATGCCATGATCAATCACCCAAAATTGATCTCAAGCTTATAAGTTTTAATCCCAGATCAAGAATCACATCATGCCTTTCCTTGCTAAGCTAAGAGGATGACTCCAGTCCTTCATCTCTCTCGTCATCAGTTCGACTGTCAACATGGACAACGACATCGGTAGGATAAGAGTGACCGCTTGGGACCTGACTGTGGCGCCCACTATCTCGACCACTCCTCTTGGACGCTGCTGACATGGGTGTGGCACGCTCCTGTTTGGTTGGTGTTTGTTGCTGGACAGGTGGCGCCACTGCTTCTTCTATATCCAACTCGTAATTCTCTGAGCCATCGAGATCGACCATTTCCACCGTCTGTGGGACGTAGGCACTGGCTGTGAAAAGAGAATAGGTAGCTAGGGGCACAGGAGGGGGCTGAGTCCTTGGTCCCCCCAAAATTTCTTTTTTGGTCCCTTTTTTCCCTCCACTCCCAAGGGGTCCCTCCCTCTTGAAACTATCCCTCCCTCTTCCCAGTCCCTCCCCTTTGGTAGCACACAACATCATGTGGAGACTCTCTATGGAACTAGCCAGTTTTTCCATAGAGACTTTAATACTGTGGGCGGAGGCGTTGGTGATGACGGAGGTATCGCTGGCGCGTCTCGCCTCCTGGTGTTGCCCCTTACCAACCCAGGTCTGGCTGTCACTCCCGCGGCGCGAACTGGGAGGAAGAGCCACTGGCGCTATTCTGTTTTTTCTTCCGCGCTTTTTCTTCTTTTTCTTGGTTTCTTCTTTGTCTCTTTGTACACTGACTTGGGAGTCTATTGACAATCTCCTAGATGCTATAGACTGAATGTCTGGAATAATAGTGAGATCTGGTGGTAAAATCATTGAAGAATTTGACATTTTCATGGTCAAACAATTTTTTATTCCTATTATTATTACTATTTTTTTTTAAGATTTCAAAGTCAGTGAATAATACTTTTTCAGCATTAATTTTCAGTTCACGGAACAACCCACTTTATTTCAAAATTTTAATTTTTTAAAATTCTGAATCATAAATTTGCATAGCTGCTTGGAACGTGCTCCATGGACTTCAGGGTTTATACCAATGCCTTTCCACTCAAGCTGAATTATACAACTTACGTTCTGTGAGGAATTTCAGGCTTAAAAGCAATATCCTTAAAACTCCTAAACTGGCAGTACATACCTGAGTCTGAGTACCTGCGAAGGGTACCTGCTGTGGGGTGGATCATCCCTCCCCTGCGACGCACCAAGTTAGGCATGGCTTGGACCCACTGTGACGACATGTCAGCTGACGTGACACTGTTCAAGTCAAACTTCATACCTGGAATGTATATGAGTGTGAATTTTTAATACATATGTAGAATGGGAACTTTATGTATTATTACTGTCAAGGTAATATTGTTGTCAAGGAGATACTGCTGTCAAGGAGATATTGCCGTTGTTGTCATGGAGATACTGCTGTTGTTGTCAAGGAGATACCCTTGTCAAGTCATTTTTTCATCAGGTAATATATACAGAAAGGACTTGTGAAGATTCTTTTGTCTATAGCTATTTATATTAGTTTGATCTTACCATCCAATATTTCATCTGCTTGCAGTCAGATTTCATCAGGGAATGAGGTTGTGACAGGTATGACAATTATAATAACATAGCTAATGAAACTGTTCTACACAATACAGAAAGGAGAAATCTGTATCACTGCTGACATAATAAAGTTTTACCTCATACATGGTGTGCCAATTTATGTCAAAGCAGAATTTCATATCTGATATGAAATGTGTATGAGGAGGACCTTGTGTCAGTTTGTATTTCACAACTTGAAGTTTAAAGCATTTAAAATTTGTGCAAGAAATAGAGATATCTGAAACTTTTTTCTTTTAAATTCTTGAACAACATGCCAGTTCACTCAAGCATATTTGTCACATTTTATCATTATGAATGTGCAGTGCATGCAAAGGAGTACGTGCTACACGTGTGTACACTCACCCAACGGATCATCATGGGTACTGCAGAAGCTTACGGACATGCGCCCATTGTTGACATCCCTCCTCTTAGCAAACGCCTGAGCTATCATCTTGTGTTTCTTTAACTTGACTGGCTTGTTGTCAGCAATACGAAATACCCTGTAATGTTATGATGCACATCTTATTACTTTTTTATGAATGAAAAACATTTTAATATGAGACAACTATTTATTAATAAATGAGGTCAGTCAGACTGCTTCATCTGCCAAAAAAATCAGTCATGAAAGTTATATTTTCTTATACTCTTTAAATCTATCTTTTAACTTGAAATGGATGATCATTATAGTGATGTACATTATATCATTTGCATTTATGATATAAAATCCATTGGTTGATGCTTCTACACAAGTTCTCATGATTTAAGTTTTTACCTTCTAAAGAACCTCTTCCAAGCATCCAGGGCTCCGTAACATAGAAAGCATTGCAAATAGCGATATCACATTGAGGGGGACGTGTATGGACAAGTTATGAAATCAAGACGTTTACCCTCGGTTGCAATGCGAGATGCTTTCGAGTTATGGGGCCCAGGGTGGCTTTATACACCCATAGCTCTTACCTTCTAAAGAACCTCTTCCAAGCATCCAGGGTGGCTTTATTCCAGACCCATAGCTCTTACCTTCTAAAGAACCTCTTCCAAGCATCCAGGGTGGCTTTATTCCAGACCCAGGAACTCATGGCTATACCAGCACCAAAGTAGGCAAAGATGTGGATCTGTACCGCGGCCAGACTGGGACGACTGGTCAGCTCACACTGCGTCTTATCCCCTGTCAGTTCTGATGTGGCTTTACACCTGTGAGACAATGATTGGATATGAGTGACATCTCTCTCTCTCTCTCTCTCTCTCTCTCTCTCTCTCTCTCACACACACACACACACACACACACACACACACACACACACGTCTGGCACACACACAAATATTGAATTGCCTTTCTCTAAAATTCCATTATTTCCTGTAGTTTATGATACCCAAGCTGTGCACTATGGCTTTCAAATTTGTACATTTCTTGAAAGCTTCCTGCTGAATAGGTTCAGGTTCATCTTATGCCTACACAGTTCACTTTTGCTTTCTTAGTTTTCACCTTCTGAGACCTTTATTTCAAATGAACATTCAAGAAAACACCTCATAGTTTTTTTTTTAATTTTCTAGGCATATTTGTTAACTTACACTGTATATTCCTTGAAGGCCTCATACCAGGTTGACTCCCAAGTAAACATATAGATGTGTACTATCAATGTGATGAATGAGAAGACTATGGAAAGCACCGCAAATACACCTGGAAATAGTGAGAAAAGAATTCCAAATCTTTCCCAAATTTAAGAAGACATCCTTTGGGAATTTTCCTCAAAGGAATGCTGCATTTTAATAGGACAGGATTTTCAAATAAATAAATAAACAGATAACATTCTAATATATAAGAAACAAGAGGCAATAACTTTTGTTACCACCATCAGGGAACATATGACGCAGTGCCAAAATATTAATTTTTTTACACCAAATTATCTTAGGCATTAAGCAAAGATCTCAGGGCGCATTCCCATAGATTTTAGATTGATCTATCCCCGTGGGGAGTCTCACTAGATTACTGTCAGATAATCCAGCTTAAATGTCTGTCCTGCCTTCTACAAGCTGTAAGGGGGTAATTAACTGTCGTGCCCGCTTGGCTGACAGCTATTTAGCGTGAACCCCCAGGGAGTTAGGTCGATCTAGTTGGATCGATCTAATCTCCGGGAATGGGGTCTAAAACACTAGTCTATGCCTAGTTTCAGCTTACACTGAATCTCACCTAATCTAAATATAGTTTCCATGATTTTGGCTGTAGCTTTATTGCTGACCACTCCGGGACTTTCTTTACGGAGTTTGCACAGTGTGGCCAGGCCTGAAATAATACAATTATAACTTTTTCAAAACTCTGTTTACATACAAATGACTAGTCTAAAACCATATCCTCTTTGCTCCCTTTTCATTTTTTTTTTAAACATTTTTTTTACAAAAGGTAAATTTTATTTTTAATCATTTTCTGCAACATAAAATGCTCACCCAATGGATAATTTTACACCTGGTCCAGTTCTATTTACTAAATGCAAATATTTACACATTTCAAACTGGAGTAAAAAGACTTATCAAAAGCAAACATGCAAAGAAAAAAAAACTTTTCCATCAATAATTTGTTGTAAAACATAAGAGCTAGTTCAAGTCACAGAAAACCTTTTCCATCTGTTCAATGATGAATTTGCACAAAAATCAACACAAACTTGATGAAGTCTACATACATCTGCAAACTTTGGATTATTTTTCAACAACTCACCCATGCATATAACCATCAGTCCTATAGACATCAGTACTCACCCATACATATGACCATCAGTCCTATAGACATCAGTACTCACCCATACATATAACCATCAGTCCTATAGACATCAGTACTCACCCATACATATAACCATCAGTCCTATAGACATCAGTACTCACCCATACATATAACCATCAGTCCTATAGACATCAGTACTCACCCATACATATAACCATCAGTCCTATAGACATCAGTACTCACCCATACATATAACCATCAGTCCTATAGACATCAGTACTCACCCATACATATAACCATCAGTCCTATAGACATCAGTACTCACCCATACATATAACCATCAGTCCTATAGACATCAGTACTCACCCATACATATAACCATCAGTCCTATAGACATCAGTACTCACCCATACATATAACCATCAGTCCTATAGACATCAGTACTCACCCATACATATAACCATCAGTCCTATAGACATCAGTACTCACCCATACATATAAACACCAGACCCACAGTGACTACCAGTCCTATTGGCATTAATACAAAGACTCCTCTGACCCAGTGGTTGATATAGCCAACAAAACATATTCCACTCAGGGAATCTCCATCAACCTGAGACAAGAATGGGAGAGAATTGTGTTAGGAGAGATTGTGTTGGTTAAGATTACATACAATGTGATTTGAATTGTGACTTGGATTGTGTAAAATGTGATCGTGTTTGGTGTGACATTGTGCTGGTTGTGACAGTGATGATAAATGGCATATCTAACTAAATTTCCTTCATTTTAATATCTTACATTTATAATAAACCTGTAAGAACATATTATATGGAATACAAATACTTCATTGGAAGTTTGTGCAAAACCTACTAAAAAGACCAGCCATTTGATCAAAGTGAGTGCCAAACTTCCATCAGACCTATATCACAATTGATAAAATGTGTTACCATATATGAATACTTTCTTAAAGGACATTTCAAGCCATCCACAGAGGTTTTAAATCATCACATTAAAATATATCACATCAACAAGTCTTTCTCTTTCATTCCTACCTCCGTGACAGCTAAACATATGATAGTAAGCACCAGTGGAAAAGACCAGGCAAAGATATGAAAGTAGGCGATCTTTCCTGCTATCAGATCACGAGCAGTGCCCAGAGACTTGAAGGTAACACGCCAGCAATATGCCAGGATGACAAACCATGTGACCCCAGCCATCATGGAAAAGTAGACGAATATAAAGATGAAAGTGCATGAGGCAGTTTCTCCTGACCTGAAAATGGGAAAAAATTTTAATCAAACATGTGAAATGCCTTTTAAATAATGACCATCAATAGCAAAACCATAATTTCAAAGTAACATCAAATCCACAATGATTATTATTATTTGGTATACAAGTGGGAATGAACTGAATCATTACCCTATCTTTGGCTCCCCGCTTCTTAAGGTTCCATCAGCCTTGCAGACGATATCCTGTCTAGCACCTGGTATAAACTGGGCCAACCACCCAATACTGCCCACAAAGAAACAGGCGTTGATGAAGAAAAGGATCAGCGCCGGGTAGCGGTTGGCATTCTTCCAGTCAATTATGAATGTCAGCTGTGAATTAGAAAGTAGTGTTAGATGATTCAGTTGAGATGACAGTGTGATACATCACTTTTTTTCGAACCTATTTCTGCACTGTGTGTTGATAAAAGATAAAATGTTGTGGCAACAATTAGGCTTTTCACTTATATTGAACCCTTCAATAAATGAAGTTATTGGACTCAAAAGTTGTGGCAGAAGCAAACAATAGCCTGTTGTTTACAGATATGATTTTTTTAACCACAGTTATCTGTAAGTTATGACTTTTCTATATCCTACTTTCTGTAAAAAATATCCTAAAAAGTTTGCCTAAGACTTAGAGGAAAATAAAATCAAATCAATATGGACATTTGACTCATAGGAAAAAAATATTTGAAATTAGTTCAGCAAACATATAAAGAGGAAAAAGCGATGAAAGAGGACCTTTCAAAAAACACCCTGAAAATGAAAGAGCTGTATGAAAGAACACGACTCTATACTGGGAGGTTCAGAAGTCATAAATACAACACCCAAAAGTCCAGGTTTCCAAATAAATCTAAAGACCTTCATATATCAGTAAATATTTTAGAAAGATAAAAGTTTCTTGCCAACACACCAACAGACTGTTCATATAGTCAGCACCCTTCAGCCATGTGTCAACGACAAACAGCAACCAGAAACATTAAAACACTTTAACACTGAAATACTTACCTCTACAGGTGCCAATGAAAACGTGTAAAAAAGGAAAATTGTCTTAGTTCTTTAGCACTTAACTAAACACATCTTTCATAGCTTGCAAATACTACTAAATTTTTACCTTATTTTTCATATAATAACAAGATACTCATTTACTTAAAATGAATCCCAGTAAATCCCATTTACTTCTTAAAATTTGCACTGCTTATCACAATGGGGTGTTATTTTGTTCGCTACTGCCTTTGACCGATTTATTGACTTAAGGGCACATTCACTTCAAGTTGATCTGTGGATAGAATATAGCCAACCCACTTTACAGCTTGCCACATAATCCCCTGACAGACACTGAACAGATTTCCCACGGGGATTATGTGGTAAGTTTTCAAGTGTGTCAGCCATATCTGATCCACAGATTAACTTTGGTTGTGAATGTGGCCATGCAGTAAGTGTAATCGCCTAGCTTGTATGTGTCAGGTGAGACCAATTAAAAAAAAAATCCCACCTACCAAAGCAAAGAGAGTCAGCACCAGACACAGAGATCCCACCACACCTATGAAGATGTGGACCTGCCTGTGTTCGTCGTCAGTAAACAGAGGGTTCTGGCACTGTAGGCCACACCCATCCACCCCCTCGTACCAACTGTCCTTGTTAGACGTGGCAACCAGGGGCGCCTGGCAGGTGGAGCTGGTGTTGAAATTGAGGTTTGAGACAGGATTCTGAAAAAGAAGAATATTAACAAAACTGATCAATTTGTTGGGAATTTTTTATAATTATTAGCAATATTTGAGGTAATAAATTTTGCTGCCATCACACCAAAGCAAGGAAAAATTTTGTGAAAAAATTTTCCTATGAAAATCTTCATTATTAGTTCTCTTTCTTCTTTTAAATGTGACTACCAAATATGCATGAAATCTGAAAACAGAATTTTTAACAAAACATTGGTCTGAACTTTGACTTTTGTTCTACTTCCAATCTGGATAGAATATAAACGAATGCTCATGAATCACACGCAAATCAGTAGATCTTTATGATTCCCTGCAGAGTCATTAAAATTTTCTTCCATACATCTTACAGTAAGTTTAAAACAGCTCATGCCCAAGGCAATATATATTACTCAATACCTTTCAACCTTTATGATTAACTCACTACTAATAACACAGCACAAACAATTAATAATACCAATTTTATTTTAATACTAAATCAAAAAGTGACCTAACGTATGTACACAAATTCCTGCCAAACATTTCAACATATAAACCTACATTATCAAATATAAGAGCAGAAGAGATTCATTCAAGCTCCCTATAGTGAGTGATTCATTCAACACAAGGCTTTTATTTCCATAGCCTTTCATGAGCGTTGAGGTGGAAAATGCACACAAAACCCCAGTGTTTGACATTGAGGGGCTCAGCCTATGAATCCCTACAGAGCTATGTGTATGTTAGGAAGGTAGTTTCTTTTCTTTGTTTGTGCGCCTTATTGTGCTGGGCAATATGGGTCATTTGTTACTTTTTGGGTCTCGCTCACATGACTTGAATCATGCTAGGAAACATAATGTTTAACATTCTCACCATTGATTAAAAGTGACAAAATGACCATGTATGTGGAAAATAATATGTACATTTTCAAAATAATTCATTAATTATTTCAATATGTAAATGTCATTCTGAGTATTAATTTGACAGAGCAAAAATTACTCTGAAATCCAAGTTAGTCTAATCAGTCTGAACATTCAGGACTTCTAGTATACATCTTTGGGCAAAGATCATGAACTCCTCATCATTGTGGCCTTTGCCTCCATACTGTTGATTATAATTCACATTAATACTCAATATGGCATTTAGGAAGCCACTTCTGCCAATGTGTGTACAGGGTTCATATCACCATAATGTCAAAACACAGATTTAGCCTTTATGAAATTGGCCAGTTCAAAACCAATCTTAAATTGCCTAGTGTGAACTGTTCTCCTAGGTTATTGTAGTGTCTATAGGTCATTTGCTAGTACTGCTTGTATACAAACACAGCTGAGGGGAGAATCTCCTCCTTAGCTACCCAGATCAATTTATGTTCAATACAAAAATGTTTAAAAGTTTGTAGTACATGTAAACTAAAAGCTGTTTCTCTTTACAAAAATTCTTACACCAATACCTTGTATTTCACTACTGGCCTTCAAATCTGAATACTCTTACATTAGTCTTAACTTTAAGCTGGTGTGTACTATGTAAAGTTATCTGGTTTGAGCATAGATTTAATTCATTTAAAGAAAACATATAAGAGACTACTGAATTTCAGTGAAATTGAAAGTATTTCAACTTCTTTCAAAATCATTATGGAGGTAATAAAAAAAAATTCGACATCTGATTATAAATAGTAGTCACAGTGACACTAAAACTACTTCCCTTTTTTCCAAAATCACCTTTCAACTAATAAAAACAAAACTGAACTTACAGAATTACACTGAGACTGAAAATGCGCTCCCTCACACTTCAGAAACTCCGGCCACCCTTGCACAGTCTCCACAATCCTACACGGTCCTCTCGTCTTCTCACACATATCCTTGGAAGGAAGCTCGATGACGCTGCCATTACACGGCGGCATGTACACCGCGCACAGCAGCGGCTGAACCACAGCCCAGCACTGCGGCACACTTTGCAGGCCGCTCCACAGCTTCAGTCTCATCTGAGCCTCAGTCTGGTTGGAGGAATCGTTGACTAGCACCAAAGAGGTCTGTGCATAGGGGAGTGGGGTGCCAAGACAAGTCGAAGTCTCCAGAGGCTCGCACGGTGCTGCCATCTGGCAGCCTGTCAAGGCAACAGTGGCAGAAGAGGTAGTGACATCAACAGGTGTTGTTGTGACAGTGCTTGAAGCTGTCTGTGCGGGCACTGTGGTAGAAATGTTGTCGACAGCTGAAGTTGTTGAAGTATTTGTGGCATTTTGACCAAAGGTGATCCCAAGGCAGATAAGGAAAATGATGAGAGTCAGAGCAGGAGTGGAGGATGCCATAGTGTGACCCTCCTCTACACCACCTCACACACCCTGGGGAAACAGAAAGAAAAATGTCTGAGGTCACTGTTATAAACATGGTTTGCTTATTTTACAGCACGTTAATGTGACTTGATGCAATCGTGTACCTCAGATATATCGCACTTGCAGTAAATGTAAAACACCCATTCTAAAATAACTTAAACAGTGAAAAGAAGGTGAAAACAAGTGTGAAAACAGAAAACGCAAATACCCTGCCTTCATAAAGGCCGATTTATACAGAAAGTCAAAGTGAAGAAGTGTACTATATAGTAGGTTATCTCAAAGACACTTCTGTCTTAAACAATACTTCTACAGCATATCAACGCCAGGTTTAGAAAAATAAGTGATAACAAATTGACATTTTGGACAACATTTCACTAAACTTCTTCGTGAAACACCGAACTAGCTGAAGAAAGCCGAGTAAGTAAAACTAAAGGCTGCACAAACGAACTCCATAAAGAATTTAAGACAGAAGCTCAAACTTGCCATACCTCCTTTCCAGCGTCTCTATCAACTCTGCCCTGTACGTCAAGTCTTCGAAGCACCCATGAATATTAATTGTTTGTATTTCGTTTACACATCAGATCTACATCTTTCCTTAAACGATCCCCAACATTTAACAAGGACTAACACAAGATGGTATTCTTTCAACTCTATTACCCCTCAAGTCACGTGACGGGATAGATAAGGGAGCAGCTCGTAGCTTAAATATTCACAAACTTACAAAGCCACATTGCGTTCGCACAGAATAAAGTATAAAATCCAATGAAAATTTAGCACTGTACTGATTCTTTTTCTTTGCAAATGCCTCATCTCTTTAGTAACAAGATCAACACCAATCAACATGCTCAAGTAATAAAATGGCTAATCCTACAGAAATAAATTTCCCCTGATGCTGCTGAAAATGTTATCCCAAGATAAGCTTAATTCGAAGCTAGCTCTCCCGATGAGTCTTTTATTTCTGGTGTTTCTTTTTTCAGTGTGATTGGCGAGTCGATTCTTTAAGAAATTAATTTGGCAGCTATCTAAAACAATCATTTCAATATACGTTAAAAAAGAGAAAAATTTCGGTCAAGTTTAAAAATGTGTAGCCTACTTTCAAACGTTTCTGTTTAATATCAAATAATAATTACGGTTAGCTGAGATAAAATGACATTTAAAACTGCACTTTCGATCAATTGCTTCGACTCTTGTCAATACTTTTTTGGTGTATACATTCTAAAGATTGAACGGCTAGTAAAACACCACTTACTGGTACATGTATAAAAATCTGTCCCGTTAGCCCCGCGCCCCGCCCCCCCCCCCCCCATGTGTATAAATGTTGATAATAAAATTATTTTCATTTATAAATCATTTTATATATTAATCACTAAATTGATAGAACCATCTGTTTATTCATTTGTAAAACCATATGTTCATTATTAGTTGTACAGACTGGACATTGAAAGTGTTTTGTGGACGTCAAGAGCAGTAAATGTGGCAGAGAAGACAGGACTGATTGTGTTTGATGTTGAGACTACAATCACTGCACAACAATAATAATCAACATCCCAAATACTTGTTTATAAATGAGGAAAAAAAAGATACTATGGATCTTTGGTGTTTTTCACCAGAATCACTACCGGACGAGAAAAGTAATCACTTTAATGCAGTCTCATGAATCAACGATCACCGCAAAAGCTGATATAATGTCATTTAATATAACGTAGGCCTATAACTGATGATAACCTACAAGTAGGCTACGGTGCACCTTGACTCAGGTATTATATGCCTAAAGATAGGCCTACAGCCCGTGTGACAAGAATGGTAGTCCACTAGAACCGTAGCCCGTTCTCCATTACTTTGCATATGTCTATATTATATTATATTATATTATATTATATTATATTATATTATATTATATTATATTATATTATATCAATGTATCTATCTGTTTATTTATTTATTTATTTATTTACTTATTCTTATTACCAAGGTAATGTATTTTCTAATTAATTTAATGAACAACGGTCATTATGAGAGACAGGCAGTAAGAAGACAGAGAGGCAGAAAATGAGTCTAACTCTTCCTAGATCTATCACGTGCACTCTGCCCGTAACGCTGACTCCACCCTGCGTTGAGGAGATAACTAGTAGATAACCTCCACTATCAGCATCTTGTAGTGTTCCCTGTAACTCTTCGAAACGCAGGGTACCAATCTGGGAGCTCTATCATTGGTTAGCTTTTATTAAGCATCTCACGGTTGTCAATTGCTCGTCCTCTTTAAGTGTTCAGGCGGGGACGCCAAAAATCACTCCTCAATATGGTTCCTTAGTGGCCAATATCGTTGTTTCTAATTGCTCATCTTCTTTTCGATGTTAAGCAAAGATATTAGGAGATAACATTTATCATCTGTAGGAGCTCACCTCGTTTCGGACAAATTCCTAATATAGATACAGCAGAGATATGATAACGGCTCATCGTTTATTTTGTCAAATTTTCAACCAGGTTCCAAACAAAACGAATTTTTCAAGAGACCATTTCAAAATGCAGACATTGACATTAATATTTGCACATTTCTGGGCCGCAGTCTTCGATATTTGTTTAGCTTTTTTCATAAGAATAATATTTCTTTTTATGTGCTTAAAAAAAGTGCCCCGTTTTAAATATCAGGTTGAGCCTGAACTACACTTCAAAAACACGGACTTGCCCGCACAATCATAATGAAATAGAGAAAGGGCGGTTCCCTTGACCCATCCCATCCCTTGACCCATCCCTCTACCCTCACCAAACTAACCTTGACTGATTGACAGCAGCAAAACTACCCTAAGATTATCATCAGATCTATTTTTTTTTTTTTTTTGCTTTAATTAAAAAAATCAACACGTCCCATAGATTACATCTATATTATTCTTGTTCACTGTACAATTATTAACTGGTGCCAGTTTTCAAAACCAAGGGTGTGTCTCACCCCAAGGGTGTGTACCTTACCAGTGACACCTGTTTCGGTATTTTTGGACTATAAATAGTGTCTGTATGTATTTTGGTAACGTTATAATCGAGTGTCAAGGTGTCTATTTGACGTGTATCTATCCGGGGCATTTATCTTATTTGATGTCGCTATTTCCAAGGTCACTTTTAATCCTATGTCTACAAATTCTTTGATATTGTATGACAAGTTGGATTAGATCTATTACAGTATGCAGATATCCCCTCAGTAGAACCCCGTCTGTATTTTTTACGTGAAGAAGTTTCATCTATAGATACGTCTGCCAAGGAGGTTATTTTTTTGGTTCCGTTAGTTTGTCTGTCTGTCTATCTGTCCGTCTATCTGTTTGTCTGTTAGCAACGTTACAGAAAAGTTATGGACCGATTTTGATGAAATTTTCAGGAACTGTCAGAAGTGGGCCAAGGAACAGATGATTAGTTTTTGGTGGTGATCCGGATCAATAATCAATCAATAATCAAAAATAAAAAAAAACTAAATCATTATAGAATGAAAATTTAGGAGTGGAGACTTTGCTGCCTTGGCGGAGGTCTGCGCTCTCGGAGTGCTTTTCTAGTAATTAAAATGATATGGTTTTATCTTCGCGCATACTCAACCGGTTAAAATACAGTATTTCTTGTTGCGTATCAAATTATTAACTTCTATAAATGAATTTACTTAAACACATCAATTTTAGAATATACACTGTTTTTAAAAGGAAGAAATAGTGTGCACATGGCATTAGAGCTTTCTATTAATTTTCTGTAATTAATACGCGAGCCTCTGGTCTTGTAAGTTACATATCACAAATGTTGTAGCTGTTATTTTTCTGTTCTATCAGTCGTCTTTCTTTCTTTCTTTTGTTCTTTCTTTCTTTGTTCCCGACCACAAGAAAATGTTCTTTTTTATGCATGTCGTTATCACATATCACATCTATTTTACATGCCACCTGGCCCGTTACATTCCATAAGTAAGAACCACTTGTAAATGAGATGCGTTCCATTTAACAACCAGTCTTTTATGATCCTCGGCCGGTAAGTCACCCAACCTTACCCTCGGGGGGATATTAAACGCATATTACGAACGCTAGATTTACTTTAAAAAGTCGCCCTCTCGACGCGGTAAATAAAACCAAAACACTGTTGTATATAGTGGCGCGATCAATAAAAGGGGCGTTTCCGCCTTAGTTGAGCGGAATAATATCGGAATAACAGCGGTAAAAAAAGATCTGGTATGCTTATATGGCATTTGTGTGTGTCATGTAACGTAATATTATGTCCACGGTTCAGACATACGCGGATTGGAAAAACTGAAGAGTTCAGCTTTTTTCGTTCCCCGGTTTCTATTTTCCAGAGCTTCAAGAGCATAGGTATCGAAAACATGGTTTGGCATTACTCTGAATACAAGAATTACCCGCAGGTGGGCGCGGTTTTCATCTTACCCCAGTTTCTGGACATTCATATTAGTATACTGAAGTTTACTGAAGTTGACATTAGGGCAAAATGTTTACTTTACATTTTTTGCGCCTGCTATGCATATTCACATACTTATTTTTGCTAACCCACATTATTTTAACCACCAGCGTACGTTTTGTTTGGTTATTTTACACAAGCCTCCACATATTTTCTTCATGATATGAATGTAATGCTTTCTGGGATATATCATATTAAGAAATATCCCCCCCCCCCTTGTAAGTAGCAGGTTTTTGTGACTGTCCTGTTTGAAACTCATTGAAAAAAAAGATAATAATAAAAGGTAAATAATCTGATGAGTTGTCCCGTTAAGATTTTGTTCCTCTTTAAAAGCTGCGGGTCTTTTCATGGTGTCCTTGGCATGGATATTAACACTAGCCAGATGTTTTCAACTGAGATAATAGTCTACCGCTAGATAGCATAATATACCTATCTGAAATGCATTAATCTCTGTCGTAATTGTATTTCGTGAACATTTGCACAATGGCTGACAAAGACAAACAAAAAACCTTGTGTAAGCGTAGTCGAAAATTTGTTTAGGTATTACATTATAGGTCTTGTTTGTCCTTTTGATTGGAGGACACTGTGGAGAAGAAATGATGGGAAAAAATGTCGCATTGGATTTTTTTCACTTGTGTACCTGCTGAGAGACACGTAGAGACGAGCGCTTGAATTTGGCAGCAACTTAATCAAAAGAGATGTCGATGCAGTGTTGTAATTTTGTCCCGAAAATAGGTTCTTATTCTAAATCAACAGATCCCTCCCCCCCTCTCTCTGGCTCAAGACTTTCTTCTCTTTTTCTTTTTTCTTTTCTTTCCTTTCTCTTTTTTATTTTATACGACGGTCTCTCTCTCTCTCTCTCTCTCTCTCTCTCTCTCTCTTCTCTTTCTCTCTCTCATTGGTGCAAAAAAGTCAAGAGTCAAGTTTTCTTATTTCCTACAATGAAGAAACACTCTGCGTACGCAAACATTGCTTTCACAAAATTCAAAGCTACCATAGCGGCTAAAATACATTGTTAGATGCAGTGACGCAAAATGAAATAACTACTGGGGGATTTCATTGCCGTCGTGAACAAAACCTTTCCGCGCAACCAAGGCAAGCAAAAACACACATTAAAAAAATTTAAAGAAAAATAAAAAAAACAACAGAAGTCGAATCATTTTTTATACTCCCAACCGAACCATTGTTGCATAACTCGAGGATCATTGCAAGCCTTTTTCAATGCACTAATATGTGTGTTTTCCTGTTTTTCGGACGTTGCTATGACAACCGATGTTAGTTTTGAAGTGGTGTGCCCTGAGGGAACGTACGGATATTAATTGCATATTTTGACGTAATCGGAAAATATTTTGCCCCTTTATTATAACAAATTGACTGGTCGGGTATACCACAAGCATGGTGTTGTGGGTTTTTAGAATGGCGTTGTTATGTGATTCTTTATTAAAGATATTTTTTTACCTTTTTGGTTTTTGAAATAAGGACAAAGAAAAGGCGTGCCTTATTTCTGTGAACAAGAGTATCAGATGTAATTTTTTAACGCGCTTGCGTGCACGCACACGCACACGCACAGACACACATGCAGATACACACATACACCCACACAACCACACACACTAGCTTAAAGACATCACGCTATCTTATAATAAAATAACACTATCGGAAATAAGGTGGACGTTTGAGAGCGAAGCCCCCCCCCCCCCCCCCCCCCCCCAATACGCACACATCTCCATCTATAACACCTTATTTAATAATGTCACTCATAGCCCTACATTGTCATTTACTTAGTGTCAGAAACCCGGCCGAGCGTAGCAGCGTTGCCTTCTTAATGCAGGTTTAATCGTCCTCGTATTTGCACAGTTCAAAGCTAATATTTAATATGAATTAGAAAGGCAATACACAGTCATGATAATGGGCCCTGCCATTCAAGTGCCCTGCTAAACAGCAAAAGGTCCCTTTGAAAGCGCTATTCATTGGAGCGAAAAGGAGTATTACCAATATTTATAAATTTTATCAGGGTTATGAATTTACAAGCGACAAAAGTCCACTCGGCTGTGAAAGGCACGTTTTTGTAACGCCAAAGACAGAGAGAGGGAAAACATTTTCTGAAGGAAAGATAAATTTATTTTACCCGACTGAATTATGCTAAATGTTCTGCGATTCTAAGCCTGGAGAAATTGACAGGGTCAGGGACGCAGCGTTCTAGTTTTGTGCCTTCTTCCTTTTTACTCCTTAGGGAGAATCAGGCCGTCTTTTAGAACGAGAAGGATAACCTTCGACACGAGGTCGTCAGCGGCAGTTGACATTTCTTGACGGCATTCCCGTGCCGGTTAAAGCACTGTGACGCTGGAACAGCTAGGGAAACTTAATCAGGAGGTCGGTGTGAAGTGACAGAGCCACAGGTAGGTTAAAACAGCCCTTACCGGTAATTTGTTGTAACATACCTGGTTAGAAATCGTTGAAATAAGTTTAGTTCAGGGCGAGGGAAATATGCTGTGAATTAAACAGCATTTGGGGGTATACGTTAAAGGGATTTGGTTAAAATGTATATCTTGTTTTGGATCCTTTTTTGCTTTGCTTTTAAATTCTCTCTCTCTCTCTCTCTCTCTCTCTCTCTCTCTCTCTCTCACACACACACACACACACACACACACACACGAGTGTTAATCATTATTGACAGCTGTAAATGAACTTAGCCATAAAACATGCAACACAAACATGTATAAGATTATTCAAGGAAGAACATGTGGTTACCAGGATGTGTTTTAACAATCTGATTAAAGGTGCAATAACGCGACGACAAAGAGCAACGTGTAGAATATCAATGCACGTTACCTGATACATCATATAGCAATACATAGCTTTTCTTGACTTATATAACATAACATAACATACTATGACATAACGTAACGTAACGTAACGTAATGTAGCGTAACATAGCGTAACATAACATTACGTAACGTAGTGTAACGTAACTGCAGTAGTGCACGATAGCGTTATGAAATACTGTAGATAGTACAGTGCGAAAAAGACATGCACGCTCAAATTCCTGAGGATAAAATACTTCGGATTAGTCCTAAACATCCTCCCAAACAGAAAGATTATGCACGTCTCTGTGGTCTTTGAGGTCAATATAATAGTAACATAAGTATTGGTGGATTCAGAAAATGGCGACCCCCCCCTCTTTTTTTTGATGGGGAGGGAGAGCAGCCCTCTCACAGGCAGGACTTGGTGTCCTACCTTCCTGTTACTTTGTAAATCATCTAATTATAGCACCAGATATGATTTCATATATTTTTTCAAAATTCAGTCAACGCTTGACTACACTGGGGAAGAAAGGCGTAATTTATTCAGGAAATAACATGATATTTCAACAATGGACAGTTTCACTTTAGAATAGAGTTTTTTTCTGTTATTATTTTCTATGCAGTCTGAGACCCAGCACATGCTATACCGTGTTCATGCAGCAGCCGAGTGCTGGCAAAACCGATCTAGACGGCGGTTACCGTGGCAACGGGCCAGGTAAATACCAAGCGTTTGTTTTGTACACAGCAAAGCGGATTACAAAATGGGATTTGTGCGAGCTAACGGGTTAATCAAAGGTGGCGTTGGCATGGCAACGAGCAAATCAAAGTCTGGCCATGGATTTCAATGTGAGCCGTTAATTAGGATTATTAAGACAAAGGATACAGCTTGTAGAATGATAAACGTAAATAAGATTTCAAAGTAAACAAGAGAGCTAGAGCACAGTACAAAGTGAAAATATTCAAGGCGAGCTGTTACACGTTAACAAGATTCGTGCCTTGTATACTAATAACCCCCTTTGAAGTTTTAATAGATTTGATATCATATGCTTTATAAGTTGCGGTTTCCTGAATACCCCCCCCTCCCCTCACCCCACCCCACCCCTCAAGAGAGAGAGAGAGAGAGAGAGAGAGAGAGAGAGAGAGAGAGAGAATTAAACATGAGTGACAGACATGAAGCTGTTTCAACTTCCCTGTTGGTGTGACGACCCTTACAAAATCACCCCGAGATTCAGAGATTAATAAAATCTCTCCTCAACCAGCACCTCATTCCCAGCACCTTGACTCTCAGGGCTAACCAAAATGTCACATCTATAATTCCAGCAAACACAGAACGTTTTATAACGTTGTCATAACGTTACCATGACGTTTTTACTGGTTATATAAACGTTATGGTAACGTTATAATAACGTTCTGTGATTGTCTTGGTTAGCTTGACTCAGGGAGAAGCGGTGAGTTCCCAGTAATCTTTGAATCTCAGGGTTCTATGACTGAAAACACCGTGTCTCTCCACATAAACCTGAGTATCACAGGTTACTGGGAGCTGACTCAGTGAAGGGGCATGTGGATGACGATGGACGTGGTGAATATTCTCATCAGAAACTCAGGGTGCTTCACATAAAATAGACGTTTTGACTCCTAGCTTTTGAAAACACAGCAATCATTTATACAGTAGTACTCAAATAAGGGATATATATCTTTTTCATATTTTTTATCTGTTCTTTCTTTCTTTCTTTCTTTCTTTCTTTCTTTCTTCCCCCCCTCTCTCTCTCTCTCTCTTTCTCTCTCTCTCTTTTTGTTTTGAAGAAAGTTGGGGATGGGGATGGGAGAGGGATGGGGGGTAAAGGGGTGGGGAGGGGGGAGTCTCCTTCTCCCGTTCTCAGGAGAACGCTACTACAGACACAGCTTGGAGAAGGTGTACTAAAACTAACACTGTCTAATGTGGTGCTGTTCTTCGTTCAATCACCAGATATCATGCGTTCGTGCGGTGCATATCGACCTTAACTGTAGTCAGAGGTCAGCTTGAATGAAAAAAAAATTCTACCTTGTCAGGTGCTGAGTGAATTACACTGAATGTCCTCATGTTTAGTCAGACGTCAGTCTGAACCCTTAAAAAAAGAAAGAAAGAAAAAAAAAGAAAACAAAGCACAGATGTCTATCTTATCGGTTGGCTCATTCCTAATTGGGGAATCAAATACAATTATGTCATACTCTACCGCATTTCCACAGTAGCTGTAGTTACGATCATAACTGTATCCATTACTGTTTTATGTTGAACACCTGACTCATTTACGACACTGACACTGAAGTCGTGTTTGTTAGTTGCTAAAGGAAACACACGATAATTGTGAGCCCTGTGGAGAAAATCACCCCAAATTGCTACAATCTCTCGTGACATTGAACAATATGCGGGCCTATTTTTTAAGGATATCGAGTGCATGGGTTTTGAGTAATTATTACATTAAAAATACCCGTAAAGTATTAGTGTCTTTTATTTAAAGTGGTTTTAATTGGATTCAAATTTTTGTTTTTTATATTTAAATAACTTAATTATAATTTTAATAATATTATCAAATTTTATTATTTTCATCCCGTCCTCTATTACAGCAAGTTTTGCGTGGAAATCACCACAAATTACAATAATTCCTCGTGACACCAATTTACATGTATATGCGATTCATCTCTAAAAGTTATCAGTTCCGCCATACACGAGTTTTAAGACCCCATATCCAGAGATTAGATCGATCCAAACTAGATCGACCGAACTCCCTGGCGGTTCACGCTAAATAGCTATCAGCCGAGCGGGCACGAAAGTTAATTACCCCCTTACAGCTTGTAGTGGGCGGGACGGACATTTAAGCCGGATTATCTGACAGTAATCTAGTGAGACTCCCCACGGAGATAGATCGATCTAAATGTCTGGGAATACGCCCTAAGAAATCATTATATGGCAAAATGCCCGTAAAGAGTTGGTGTCGGTTTTCTGTCTGTCAGGTATTTTATATAATTGTATTATTTTTGATCCGCCTTCTATATCTATAATAAACACATTCTTGCAACATCAGTTCCGCTGAGTTATGAAGAATTATTATGTGTCGAAATACACAGAAAGCGTAGATGTGGTTGACCGTTTTCTTTGTCCCGCCAACTATTTATAGCTTTCTTTCTTTACTTATATCTTTATTTTTGAGAAAGAAAAAATTACCATTATTAAACGAACGCAACAGATTTTTTCATAAGAAGGGTGAAAAACATCACGATAACTTGAACATACGCAATGCCCTTTTTGTTATAAAATGGCGATAAAAGATACGTTCTTCTCTCGCTCTCTCCCTTGCTCTCTTTTCATTATTATCATCAATATCATCACCATCTTCACCATCATGTTTCTCTCTCTTTCTCCGTTCCTTTTCGCAAACCACACCCTTGAAACCTAGATAATTTCCATTAAACACACTTGCAGCCGATAAATAAGATATTTTGCCGAATCATCCCACTAACCCCAAGGGGATCAAACCCAAACATGAGGCTTAACATTCTATCACGATCGACGTAGTATCAACACGACCGAACCGCTCGGTAGATTTAGCATACTTACGCAACGAACGCTTTGACATTAAGGTGATATATTCCCTCTAATTCCACATTGGTAAGCCATTAAAATACGCCCCAAAGAGAAGCGTTGTCCCGGTGTCATAATGATCGAAATTAAAGGTCAATTCCAAAGTAGACGGACTTATCTTCCCTCTCTTCTCTTCAAGTGTGTCATTTATTTAGAAAAAAAAAATGTTTGAGTGTCATGGAGGGGTTAGATAAGGTGTGATGGGATGTGATGGGATGCCTTGTGAACTTGAGTTTTCTTACTGAGAGAGAGAGGGGGGAGGGAAGAAGTAAAATCATTCCAATTTAACCACAATGTTTTACCACAAAGGGCCATATTGCGACTTATACCTAAAGTTCAGACAAAATGCCTTCAGAATTGTGCAGGCGGTTGTGAAAATACACTGAAATGATTGAGAATGAAGTTAGGCCTTTGTTCGTCCTTACGCACGTGGGTAGTGGTTGGTTCTGGTATTCTGTTTATGTTTGTAGTAAAACGTGTTACCCAAACAGAGATAAACATATGACTAATTCCTCTTTCTTATGGTCAATTATTAATTCTGTTACGTGGTCTGAATTTTGTACTTTTACGGGGGCGGATCCAGAGATACTTTCTGACAGTCTTCGCAACTATCTTTGTTGATCCATCCTCCATTTTTGACCGTCTTCCGAAAAATTAGGTGACTTTCAATGTAAATTTGAAAAATTCTGACCGTCTTCCGGAAGAAGACAGCTTCCATCCGCCCCTGCTTTTATACGACTAGCAATTTCGGCTTTCAATCTAAATGTATTAAATAAAACCTCAGTCAGATATCGTTCTACTGAACATAAGATGGAAAAGCACATTTTTTTTGTGAAAGAAAACTATGCTGCTTAAAAAGCTAGATATTATGTAGAAAATTGTAATAAAATATCCCAAACGCCCTCTTTTTGACATTGAAATACGACACCAAACGTGCTGAATCTTTCCATAAAGCAAACACAAAGGAAAACTTATATTCGCTACGTGATAAAAATCCCAACATTTTTCACTCTCACTTCATTCTGTTTATGTTTCAACTTGTTAACAGCGTGGGATTTCACTTAAACATGGAGGAGTGAATTATTGCCTGTTCATAATTCACGACCAAGTCGCGCTCAGTTTGATTTAGCTAAAATATTTCAGCTCTGATTTCTGAATGTGGACGTTTGAACCCCTACTCTGTAATTATTGAATTGAGCGGACGAAGAACAGAGAGAGAGACTTATGACAGTTTATAACAAAACGGGGATCCTAATCAAGTCAAATCTAAGATCTGGAGTTAGAACTGATCGAGTTTTGTCAAAATCGGTCGAACATATGCTTTCAGTACTTCTGTTTCCGTTTTTCATTTATGATTTATGTTGATACAGGTGTCAATATCTTAACGTTGCCATTGTGTAGACATGATTGCGCAACGCCAGTACGTTGTCATAATCTTTCATATTGGTTTTTCTTTTCATAAAAAAGTCTGTTGATAGGGTACAATCTAAAAGTAAATAATTGAAGACCAAATTTGATCTTTTAATTATGTGACGTTGTGATATAGGCCTAACAAAATTACAAAATTGACATTTTGAAATGTGTCGACTATTGGCTTGGAATTTACAAGATTATTTATCTTTTTCCGAAGGAAATTGAGAAATTAACAAAATTATTTGAAACCATCAAATTTGTGAAGTAGGGGCACTGCAGAGAGGCTTTTTGAACGCAAAAATTAATCGAATATTTGATGTTTTGGTACTGAGAAATAAAGCCAAAAACTACTCGCATACAGAAGCGTTTGCGATGAAATGATTTACAATATTTTAGGTCAAGCTTAAATAATGGGCACACCAATATAACAATACATCATTGTTAACATTGGTCAATCACCCGGTTTCCACCAAACATGTTTTATTTCAAAATCAAGGAACCTCTTGAAAAAAAAACCCTCAACGGGCCTTCAATCAGCGGACTCTTTTTTTATTGAATTTCAACTCTTAATCCCAGCTCTGAGCCGGCGTAATGCCCACTTAGCACGTATCTAAGACTAGTCTTTTCATGACTGAAGTCGTGAAATATTTATAGAGGTATTTGTCAACGATAACACGGCCCATTTAAATTGAAAGGAAAGCTTTCAGAAGGTGAAGAGGGAAATAATCGATATCGTTTGGTCCCGTCTTGCACGAGGTCAAGGTAGACAGACGACACTTTTCCAAATGCTGAGTTTAATGGGAGAATATTATACCAAAGTGTAATTCGAGTCTACGGACATCCTTTCTCACGATGTGACAATTATCTTCCTTCCAAAAGGAAATCCCTTACATGAGTTGTTTTCAAGAGAGTAACGATCGTCTGCCCATAGGCGCTGACGTCACGCCATGTTGCCATCCTCTCTTCGATCTCTCTTCCAGTCGCGACACACACGGTGGCATAGAAACTACTAGCTTAGAGCCGGAAGCGTTATAGAACGCATGGTAATACTCAAACATCCGATCAGAAATATTTACCTTTTACAAAAGCTCGTGAGAATTTCTAATGCAAGATAACACGCATCTGGGTGTTTTTTAATCACCATCTCGAATTTTTTTTCAGAGCCTGTGAAGCGAAGAGAGGAAGAACGCTCTCTCGCCCGTCCGCTTCATTGCTACTGGTAGGACCGAGCAAACAGCTGACTTATTATCGTCAATCCAGGCTAGTTACACAAACTCATAGCCGGCTCATTGATAACGGCGATACAGTTTACTAACTGGCAAAGTTGAGACAACACCGGTGACATTGTCAGTTGGAAACAGAAGCGATTTTCGCTTGGGGACGTTTTCGACATCCTCTCTGCAAAAACAGGAGCTTTTGCTTTAGGATATTTACATCGGTACGAAAGCACACTCGCCACTGTGTGTGCGGAACCAAAAAGGCAAGAATTCATTCAACAAAATGTAATTATCCGGGAATGATGTCACCTGTTCATTAAATTTCTGAAACCGTCGAGACAGGAATTAATAGCAACAACAAAATGGAACCTGGATTTAATATATACATACAGTGCTGTTCACAGCTAATACTTGACATCTTACGGAAAGAAAGACATTTTTATTTAAACCTAAAATGAACGAAGCGAGGATTAACAAGTCGTGATTTTTAAAAAAAATATCAAAATCAAAATCATCGAAGAGAAACGCACATATATTCTTGCTAGGGGGTACGATGCGAAACTCTGAGACGGACAAATTACGCACAGAAACGCGTACACCTCACACGGCTCGTTCAGCGTCCTCCTTCAGCGGCAGCCGGCAGAGCGCGTCATCGGGGGAGCAGCAATCGGCAAGACTTCGAACGCACAGTGGATCGCCAGTTAAAACTGATATTCAGCATGATCTCAGCGACAGACGTTTGAGTGCACCCGAACTCCCACCGATCATGGGAGGCCCTAAGTCCCCAACTCCAGGGTACGTCAACGGCGGAACGCCGCTGTCGACGCCACGTTCTTCTGACGGGACGTCACCTGTGCCGCTTTTCAATGGAAACAATGGCGGCGCCGTGAGTTACCCTGTCATTAAAAGAAAACACAAACCTGAAAGAATTTCTCTTAACTCTCCAGTCGATGTGCAGTTACGTACGTCTAAGTCGCCCATGCTTGTAGACAGTAACACGTCGCCTGAATCGACAACAAACGGTGTACGGCACCCTCAGCTGAGCCCCGGCTCAATGTCCTCAGGGTATGACAGCCCCAGGAGCGCCCTGCCCCCCACCCCCAAGTCCCCGGGACATCGCCAGTTACCCCTCTCTACGGAGTTGAGGTTGGCAAGAACAAAGTCATGGTGTCCGGGAAATGACAATGGCGGCCTTGCGTCGCCAAAACTTGAAACGCTGTTTGAGAAGCAGTTGTTGTCTAGTCAGAATGAAATTTCTAAAAGTGGTAATAATGTGAAAGTACGTTTACCGAGGAGTGGCGCAAAGCCACCTATTCCCGGAATGAGGAGAAATTACACCCAAACCGACCTGAAAGGGACCACCAGATCGGACCTGAAAGGGATGTCTAGGACCCAATCAGAACCTTTCATAAGTGATATGAACAAAAATCGTAAGCTCAAAATCTCACAAAGTGCCAAAAAGTCAGACAACAAGAAAACCAACCACGTGAAAGTTAAAACGAACGGAAAGGCGAACCCTACCCATTCCAATTCTTCTAAATCATCCAGTTTAAGTCAGGAACGCTTGTACATGAGGGACGTCTTAAGCAGACAACCGAGCTCAAAGGCAGACGACAGCGCGCAAGGGGATAGCGCGGGAGAGGACGGGGAACAAGATGAACGCATAATTCAGTGGTTGCTAGGGGTGGAAAGTGCTGAACATCCACCGGAACCTGTTATTATTGACGAGGAACCGAGTCAAACTGACACCGCTATACACATCGTGTACCAGGGGGATTGAAAATAAATTCTCCTCGCAGGAATAGCTAAGCAGTTCTGGATATACAGGCTATGAGCCAACTACGGGGACAGTTATTCCAAATCTGGAATAAATCCACCAAGAAATATTTTTTGATTGATTTTTTTGTTTGTTTTACGAAGGCCATCTTTTACACAAGTGATTTAGATACAAAATATGGAGTGAATCTTCAGTAACATATTTCCAGATAAACTTTAAAAGGCACATTTTGGCACGGGAACTTTATGATATTCTTCACTAATGACTTCACTAATAACCCCCTTGTCCACTGTGAATCAGTTGAGCTTAGTGTGATATTGACTTTGGAGTTGCTCTAATATACCAGACCCGTACCCATAAATTGTACTACTAGAGTACAGTTCAACCAGACCTCCCCCCCCTCCCCCCCCCCTTCCCAGGATAACCGCATCAGCAAATATCTAGTGAAATATCCGACGAGACAATTGTACTCATCAGACACTGCCTTGGCTTAAGCTGTCATGTGTTATCAAAACTACGGACATAATTGAGTTTTGACATCAGTCCTAATGGTTTTATGTACGACCTTTTTATAGTCAAGGTTCCACTTGGGATCAATAGAGATTGAAAGGAATTGTTGTTTCACTGTAGATTGGACACAAAACAACATCGATTATTTCCAACGTCCGTCAATTCCGCATACGATGGCTTTGTTACAATCCTTTTCTACATCGCGGACAAGACACAAACAGTGATGAAAACCTGATAATCAACATATTACAGACATTGAACGTCAATGCTCGGAACAGGGTTTGGCATTTTCTTAAGGATTATTCGTGAAAGGGACAAATCTATTTCGATTTTGGAATTTTAGCAAGAAACGGAGAAGTGTAGATCTAGATTCTAAGGTGCCATCCCATAATGATACAATATTAACGCCTCCATTATGGGGATAGCTTAACTACATATGTCTGACTGACTTGAGACAGCCTTAACTCACGACATTTAAAATGCCTGACAGTCGTCTCAATTCATAGCATTGATGGATTATTTTCTGAAAGGGTATATACATTGAACGCTCACTAGCAGACAAAATCAATGTGAAATGCCATATTCATTAAACGATAGCATGCATATATAGGGGTTATGTATATTATATGAACTTGGGACACTGATATCCTTATCGTATCACAACGATGGGTTTTTAGTGCGACTTTGGTAAGGTTCACTGTCTTCTTTTATACAGAAGTAAAACGCCAGCTTCTGGTTTTGTGTGGAAGCTTTAACTTTGAAGCAGAAGGTGCTTATGTATTTTGTTTATCTGTGATGGGTTTTGTTACCTTGACGGCGTGATTCAACATGCCACAGCGCAGCTTTCGACATGTTTGGGCGAAACCCTCCCCCTCCCCCAACCCCAGTAGCTCTGCCTGACTCTAGCCCCCTCCGCCTTTTACTTCCTTACTATCTTAAGTACGTGCGCAAGGGCGTACTTCATCACGCATGCACGAAAGCACACACACACACACACACTTACAAACACGCACACATACAAACCAACACACGCACGCACTGCATCTAAAGCACTCACAGCCCATTGTATCAATCATCTCATCCAAAACAGTTTTGAACCACTATAGTTCTACTCTGCGTTCTATTCTCCTTGTGTTACACCATTATGGGCATCTCTTAGTGCAATTCACTTAAAGAAATATGCAGCTTTTATTCCATTTAACCCCCAGCATAGAGAAGCTGTGAAAAATAAGGTAAAAGCCAGTCATTACAAGCTGCTGACTAGAGTTACATGATATAATTTAATTTAAAAGGCTCCGGGATTTCTTTAGAAAAAAAAAATAGAGCTGCGTTTTTTGCTGGTAGTTTTTATGCTGACATCAGGCAATTTTGATATGTATAACAGCAAGCGTGCGATTAGATAAGACTTCCAGATTGAAAGGCGGGAGGGTAGTGTGGGATTTAGAGAAGGATTAAAGAGATCCAAGTTAGTGAAAAAAGCTACACAAGAGCTCTCAGTTAGGCAGGCTTTTTTTCTAGTTTTTTAATTTGGTTGGGGGGGGGGGGGGGGCGTTAGACAAACCTTGTTTTAAGTTTTAAGTAGAAGGTCCTCTCTTTGTCCTGCTTTCTTCCTGAAAGTGAGCATAATTAAAATCACTTTAGTCTGATTAGATCAGTAATAAGAACGGGGGAGGGGATATATATTTTTTTTTAATAGTTATTTTGAAAAATGGGATTCCTTTCCTGTTTTTAAAAATATTATTATTATTATTATTATATAAAGGAGAAATATCTGAGACAGCCAGCCTGTCAATGAGTGCGCCTGCAGTGCAGGAGAACTGGCGAAAATTGAGGACAAAAATGAGCAGATCTGTGATAAGACGAAGTTCTAATTCTACACTCTGAATAGCCGGGGTATCACCGTGTCAACACCACGCCACAACCAATACGCCACGAAACAAAGAGACTTCGTTTACTTTTACTGGAGATAAATCCGCGCCTGAGAACAGCCGACGTTTGCCAACCTTATAGATATGTCATTTGTATCAATTTGGTGTGAATGGCTGGTATTTGATATTAGACAGCGTGTAGGGTTTGGTACATGTATGATGCATTGACTTTAGACAATTTTGAGCGTCCCTGTTAATGAAAAATTTGACTCGCAGCAAAACTGCCGTTTTTTAGCTTACAGATGATAAGGGCATTGATGAACACTATTCTGTGCGAATTGTTGCAGCGTTTTAACTGAAAATTGAACTTTTTGTTTATTTTGTATTTCTTAGTACCATCTGTAGCCTATAGAATTTCTTTACAGCAAATACCGATAACGGTTATTGAATTTGATTGATTTTTTTTCAGTTATTCACTGTCCCATTTCCTTTAATGAGTCAGTGAAACGTTTGTTGTTAAGAATGCTTGAACAGCCATTTTGAAAAATTTTTCATTAACATTTTGAATGTTTGTTTTACTAATCTGGGTTTTCCCCAAAAGACACCTGAATGTGACCAACAGGGAATAAACAAATAGATAAAAATATTTTTTTTGCAATTGAAAAATAATAAAGACATAACATTTTAAGCTTACATTGATATTTTGTTGAATATTCAAATATAGGCGGTAAACAGCTGAAAGACAAGTTTTTTTTAATGGCCCTGACCCCTGCCTTGAGTAGTACTGGCAAAGTAACAAAACCTCCACCGCCAGAAAAATCCACCCAATTAAAAAAGTAAATGATCTGTTTGCTATTTTTATCTTTCATTTGTTTTCATTTAATCAGATGGTAAACACCACAAATACAAATTCAGAGATATCTAAACGGTAGTAGTCAACAAGTGTGTGAAGCAGAAGGAATAAGCTAAAATGTCATCTTATGCGTAAGAATAGCAAAGAAATTAGATTCACAGTGCGTCAATTAAGGTATGACTTGGCAAATAATGAGCCAAAACGATTTCAAGTATTAAACACGCGCCTTTCATGCTGAAAGCACGCCGCGTCCGAGTGCTATTTAAAAACTCTCGAGGTTTGCGTACAGTCCTTGAGAGGGTCACTACGACCCCCTGTGCCGCGCCTCCACTCCACACAAGAGCCTCGTTATCACACCCAGTTGTATGTAAGAGTAGTGTTACATCATACACTGGTTACGAGGCTTTATAGTGGCGGCTTTAGCCATGTCCCCAAGTAATCTATTTTCTCAGGTGTTTAAGTGGATGCCAAACTGAAATCATTTAAGGGTCGGTCAGGAAAGTATCTACAACGGAGTTAATTTGACGCGATTATTTTCAACTTTGGCCAGACAGGGCTTACCCCTATCTACACTTTAAGATAAGGGAGATCTTCCGGTCATCAAAAATACACCATTCATTCTATTTATCAATTTTCTCTAATTATTGCAAAACTGTGAGACACTTTTCAGAAATTAATTTTTTTAGGACAGAGTTTGGATAAAAACGCCACTAACAAATAGAGAGAAATTGATTTTCTAACAGAAACATACCCTCAGCCAGGGCCACAGAGAGTTTTTTTCATAAGATATTCACAGAAATCTCCCTGACTCAACACTGGCTGTTCTGTGAGGATATTAGCTCAATATACGTAATCCTCTGATAGACGGTAGCTGAAGCAAGCAACGAACATCGTTTAAGAATCTATTCGACTGGGAAGTTATTGGTTTGACGTATAAAATGCCCATAGAAAAAAGAATCAAGGTCTCATGATAAAAGAAACAAATTCAGACGGAATTAGAACTTGGGGGCTATGTGTGTGCACGCGCGCTTGTGTGAGTGTGCGTGTGTGGAGGGGTAGGCGTGTGAGGTGTTTGCACGTGCGCGTGCATGCATGTGTGTGAAATCAGTGCTTTCGCCCCTCCCCCCGCCCCCTCCTGCATTTCGCTTACTCCACAACGTCTTGTCCGGACCAATTAACCAAGACGACCCAGTACCGTTCGAGGCCAATAAACCACGGATAATCACAGTCACCGCGCTATTCAATAACCCAGCACCGTCCGGGATATTTACTTTATCAGAAATAAATGTTGGAACGATCCGGGCTCATTAAATATTAAATCTGGACGATAAGGAGACCCTTGGGTAGAGCAAACATTGTTGAAAACTACTCGATAACTGCCCGTAAGTAAAGTACGCCCTGTTGAGAGAGAGAGAGAGAAGAGAGAGAGAGAGAGAGAGAGAGAGAGAAAGAAAGAGTGTGCGTTCGTTTGTGTAAGCCAGTGATAGAGGGGGGAAACAGGGCGGTGGTGGGGGGGGGGGGATTTAGCTGAAGCTGAATTTCAATGAGGCAATTTGTATCCGCAGTCATCTTTCATCCAGTTTTCTCTACAGCCATTTCTTACTTCGTCGTACTTTCGCCATCCGCACTTCATAGCATTTCATGCTTATACCGATCATAAACTTAAGTTAAATATGTTATCAGTTCTTACATAATTCATAATAAATACTTTTCAAGGTATGCATACTATTAAGCACCACCGCATCGCGAATTAGTAAACACTGAACAAGGAAGCAATAAAAGAGAATTTTTTTTATGCGACCACTAAGAAGTGTCAGCATTTATGACGTCATCTTTGGTATATGTTTACATTACAGTTACAGTTTTATAGTTTATATACAGCCGGGGTCTATAAAGTAATTATTTCTAATAAGGAAGTTTACAAAAACCCAGGGTCGCATTTCAAACGCAATGATTTATTGACAGATTGTAAAGAGACCCCGAAATAAAGAGAACAGATTGGTGTTCCTTTTGGATTTTTAATATTTTTACAGTTCTGTTGGAGAGAGAGAGAGAGAGAGAGAGAGAGAGAGAGAGAGGTGCAGTAAAAGAAGCGGGAGCTGAAAAGAGAGATACTTCCTTATACAATTAAATAACATTCTCTACGTGTAAAGAGCATATACATTGTATCAGTGG